ATAAGCTTTAATTTGATATATGTTTAAAGGACGCAGTATTTCCGGAACATTTTCAAAAGTTAAGTTGAAAAAATTAGTTTTTGTAAAAAAGTTGCTATTTTAAATGTCCCCTGTGAGCAGAATAAGTGTTAGATTTTCAAAAAAAATGATATCAAAAGAAAGGAAAATATCTAAGATTTCAATATTAAAAAATATTATTTGGATTTGTTAATATTTGAAAAAGTTATAGCAGTTTTAAGTACAAAAAACATCCCGATAGAAGATGATTTTTATCGCAAACATTATATTTTTTTTAAATTTCGACAGCCATTTGCACATAGAAAATAAGGTGTCAGGACAAATTTTTTTTTTTCATTTTATAGTACATAAAATAAGCTTTAATTTCATATATGTTTAAAGAACGCAGTATTTTCGGAACATTTTCAAAAATTAAGTTGAAAAAGTTAGTTTTTGTAAAAAAGTTGCTATTTTAAATCCCCCCCAATGTGAAGGTGAAGTGTTAGATTTTCAAAAAAATGATATCAAATGAAAGGAAAATATCTAAGGTTTTATTGTAAAAAAAAATTATGTTGATTTGTTTATTTTTGAAAAACTTATGGAAGTTTTAAGAAAAAAAATGACAAAATTTACCGATTTTTAAATTTGTAATTTTTTTGGATATTTCCCCCGTTTACGGGGAATGAGGGAAATTTTTTCAATTTTGAAGGGTAATGTCTTCGGCTAGATACTATTTGTGATCTTTTGACGTATTGTTGAAAGAAATCGGTCCAGTGGGAGCTGAGAAAAAGTGGCAACGGACATATAAAAAAAAAAAACACATCATGGTAAAATTAATACCTTCTCAGCTTCGCATCGAAGCTAAAATAGCTAGTTTTTTATAAATTTGTTGGCCTTCAATATTTACCGCCCCTTAAAATATGCCGCTGTAGACAGTTGCCTATATTGCCTGCATATAAATACGCCGTTGTGTATTAAACTAATACATGTTTAATCGTATTCATTATATTAATATAATGATATTAATAACATTTTCCGTGTCAAAAGACATGATAGATAGAAGACAAAAGAAAATGAATCCTAAATAATACATGAAAATAAATTGAATGAGCCCTCACGTGTCTGAAAATCGCGGCGTTTAATAGCCTGTGTGAATGATAACATGCGATTTGTATTAATTTTAGCGATCGGTCAAGTCCGAACGCGTGTTTTTGTCATAGTGTGAATGGTATAATTTAAATGCGTTTTATATAAAGCGATTAATCGCTGCGTTTAAACGCCTAGTGTGTACGAATTTTGGATAACTGGTAACGTCATCCATATAATTTTTATAATTAACTGCGTGTACGCTCGTTGTTATCAGTTGCTATAAAAGTATAATTGCTATTATGTTATTTTCATTTCTATTTTATAATGCAACCTTTAAAATAATGTTTTATTTTATTATATTTAGTTTGACAATTTTTTTTACCTACGACTAGTGGGTTACATCCCCACCACCAGCACCCATGAACCACCAAATATGGTAAGTAAATGTCTAATGTAACCATAACAACAAAAAAGTATTAATCCATACATTTTTAAATAATAAACTGATTTTTATAATTATTTTTTTGGGAATTTCCCCAAAAAATTCTTTACGGGGAACGAGAGAAACTTTTTCAATTTTTAAGGATATCTTCGACTAGACACGATTTATAATCTTTTGACATATTGTTCATTAAAATCGGTCCAATGAGAACTGAAAATAAATGGTAACAGACAAAAAACACATTGTAGTAAAATTAATACTTTCTCAGATTAGTATCGAAGCTACAATTACAATTATAAATATTTTTAGATAATTTTAATTTTGATTTGTCAGTTTTATACGTCAAATTTCTAAACGACTTCAGTTTATTTAAGTGTACTTAACTATTCATTTGAAGTTTCAAATACGATCGTTGATAAACTAAATTTTATCAGATGCGTTAAACAAGTTTGAAAATCTTATCAAGACGACGGTGTTTTAATCTAGTTTACATGATAGTATCTAATAAAAATAAAAAACCGCTATAAATTTAATCTTTGAAATAATTATACTGAAATTTAATTAACTAATTTGACATATAATAGTATTTTAAACCATTAAGTGTAAAAATTTCAATCAAATTTAAAAAATAAAACTATTGCTCTTTAGATGAGACATAACTGGTTAAAACGCTATTAAACTGTATGCAATAAAAAAAACTTTATATTTTGTACACATTATAAAGTACTTTTTTTTTTATCATTAATATCAGTTATTAATTAAACATAAAAATATCAATGCAAGCATAATATTACAGAAAATAAAGAGGATAATATATATCTCAACACTCAATCATTTTACTTTATTTACATAGCTTAATAAAATCAATGTGTACTAACTAAACATGTTTTGTAAATAAATACACAAGATTATTTGCTCAAAATCCTTAATTTACAGAACATTATCTAAGTTACAGAAAAAATATAATATAGTTCGCTTAGTATATTTATAAATAATAAGTAAATTGAAAAATAATTTTACACTTAAGTGGTTTCAACTAAATTAGTTATTTTAAACGATTAATATGGTTTTTTTTGTTTATAATTAAAGATAATAAAAATAAAATAAAATCATTTCTATGATAGCTAATAACCAACTAAGATATAAAAACATGAGCACAATTTACAACAATATTTTAAGAACTGAGAAGCAGAAAAAATTAACAAGTGAAAAATTTATGTTTAAAGGGTATAATATTTTTCATAAGCTAACCAACTTAATTCCACAAAAAATTTTTTATAATATATATATATATAGAATATAATAAAAAGAAAAATAATGATTTATTTACATTTATCTATTGCACAGCGACTACGCTCTCTTAAGTGATAAAAATTTATAATATATTCTCCTTTACGACAAATGGGAAAAATGTGTCAATTTGTGTTACGAAACTGGTAAGGCTTCGATATCAGAATTAGAAAAATAAAATTACTATACCGTTAATTAAAGAATGTACACATTATTACATGACTACAGTGGAAGTTTATTTATATATATTTAAATATATATATATATATGTAAGTAAATATATATTTATTTTTTAATAAATATATACTTAATAATGGTACATTCAATATTCTTATGCGCTATTGTTCAAATTAATCCTAATTAAATTTTTTGGATTTTTTCTCCGACGACTACTGGATTGTTGCGTCTGATTTCTTGTGCTCCAAGTTCTCTATAATCAAATGAACAATTATGCTTGTCCGAGTATCTATGAATGCCACAAAATAGGCCTCCACAACGACATTCAAAACCTACAACATAAATTAACTATTAAAAACTTGATGCTTAAATCAAACCATTTATTTATAGTAGGAATTGATAATTATTAAAACATTAAAGGAAAGACTAAAAGAAATTTACCTGTAAGACCGACTTTTTTACGGCACATGGCACATCGGTTTTTCTTTTTAGATTTATCTTTATCATCTTCATCATCTTTTTTACCATCATCCATAAGACTACTATCATTTGAACTACACGCAAGTCCATTGTCTATCTATAACAATAAAATAACAACTTTTATTATGTATAACTTATGTATAAAACTTTAAAGTAATTTAATTACTTACATCTTTTTTAGAGTCTGGTACCAAAATTGGAGATGATACTGGTGGTATTTGCAAAACTGGTATGGTAGGTATAGCAGTTTCCATCATAGTCTGAGCATTGACTGAAGGTGGTGATGGAGCTGTCTGAGGTGGAGCTTGTTTCTTTTTTAATGCTTCTTTGTAACAAAGAGAACATAAACCATCTGTTGATGGATTTCCATAAAAACCACAACCACCTCGACAAAGTGCTTGCATAGAGTTGGATTCTCGTTCCATTTTATAATTATAATTTTTAATGTATTATTACTATAATGATAATCTGAACGGCTTTTTATCACCAACAGAAATTACCTAAACAAATAAATAATATGTAACTTAGTAACAGGTAACTAAAAACAAACAACCAAAATTTCAATGGGATAAATAATAATACCAAGACAATTTTTTAGGAATTATTTAAATTTACCTTAATATTGTATAACCATACATGTTAAACATTAAATTACAAAGTCTAATTGCATTAAGGTACAGACAAATTTAGATTATTTATATTTATTCTTTTATTTTTCATCTATATTATACACACAATACTAATAAGAAAGCATAATTAAATGTAAGTTAATCAAAGAGTTTTAATATTAAAATCATTATTCATAAAATGTACAAAATATATCAAGAAATTTTTAATAGTTCTTTCATTTAAAATTAAATCAATTTATATATCAAACAAGTTTCACCTCAAAAAAAAAAAAGACTATTTGTTGATAAAATAGTTGATACTATTTAAGAAAAATAAGACTATAATTAATTATTTATATAAAATATTTAAGAAAATATCATATATATATATCATTGATACATACCTAAATAATGCTCATTTTAATTTAATTTTTTAAATAATATATGTTTATATTATATTCATACCATAGAAATAATATTTACCTTTAACGTCACGCAAGTGTAATAGTTGATTGATTTATCACAGGTTGTGAAACAGATGAATAATATTGCATTATAACTTCCAAATAATGTCACGAAAACATTGGCCCTTTTTTAATAAACATCTGAAAATCGAAAAATGTAAATAGTATATCAATTAACAACTCAAAACTAGTAAAAAATTGTTTTCTATTAGAAAAATATGCCTATAAAATTCAGATTTAATTTTTAAACATTATTACCATATTTTTTAACACATTGACGGGCACTACTGCTACAGTAATAATATATTTTAATATATACTATTATAAACGTAAGATAAAAAAAAAAATTCACCAAGTATTACATCTATAGCCATAATATTATTATTAGTTCTATAAGAGAGAAAAAATGTTATTTCCATGTCACAGTGCAGTAATATTTTCTCTACAAGTGTCCATCAATATATTAATAGAAAAATACTTCATTATTAAATAAATGTAACTTTAAAAACCAAATGAAATTAGGATTTCTTTATATGATTAAGACAAATTTTATATTAAGCAGTGCAACACATAGCTTTATAGTTTCATATTCCTTATAAAAAGTATCACAATAAAACTATCAATTGAAATGTCAAAAGTTAAGAATTAACATGATAAAAAAAAATAGCAAAATGCTATAATAATTCCAAAAAAATTTTATAAGATATCTTACTAATAGTAAAATTTGTATAAAAAGTAATTAATGTAAACCATAAAACTTGTAATTTTTAACACATATTAAATAATTATTTATAAGTACCAAAATAATTAATATTTATTACCATATAAATTACTCTTATTTTAAAAAAGGCATACTATAATATAATTATAATTTAACTCTATATTAAATTTTAATAATAATGTGATATAAAAATTACTTAACATAATTATACTTACATATCTAAATAGTGAAATCAATTGAAAAACAGCCTACTATCTCAAATTTTTTAACACTGACGTAGTAAATATATTTTCTGAAACAAAAATAATAGTTAAGTAAAAAATATTTGAAAGAGTTATAAAAATTTAATCAAATAATATAATTTATTTGATAAAAAAAAGTTTTATATTTAATTGGATTCCTTTTTAAATGAATATTTTGGAGAATCATTTTCTTTTGATTGATCAATAGAAAGTCAAAAAAATAATTATTGAATACAACACACAACTTCAAAAGTAAAGAGATTTCGCGAAATAATGTCAAATTCATAAATTAAACATTTTTTGAGACATAAAATGAATATTGTCAATACCATGTTCTTTGTTAATGAACCTACCTTTTGTTACCTGTCGCAATATATGAATCACTAAGCTAGGAAATTACTACTAAATGTTAATTTTACGCACAAAATCTATATTTCCTGGTATAAGCATCAAAGATACTTATAATTATTATTCAACGACCATTTTACTCAGAAAAAACCCATAGCAATAAAGAACATAATATTTGAAACAAAAATCCGTATAGCACTACGTCACTATCAAAATAACAGCAATAAACAAAACAATTTATCGATTAGTTCTTAATAAGTCTAGTTTACAAAAAAAATCATTATAGACTGTTTAGTTCTTTGTGCTTAAAATAACAACAAAGACTATGAAGTATTACGTCGTCTACTGATTAAGAAGAACAGTAGTGTTAACGTGCGCGTTACATTTGCTATTTTGATACCGACAAACAAAAAGATACCTTAGTAAATTATTTGAAAAATTATTTAATTTTTCAAAATTATTTAATGGTTCATAGAAAATAAATAAGTTATCGGTTTATTAATTCGTAATTGTATTAATCACACGTATTGCGATGTAAATAAGACTAAGAGAAAGGTGGGGTTGCTACGATTAAAATGCTCGAAAACAGATTACTGCGTTGCATTTAAAAACTCATCTTTGTAACTCGGCAAATTGGGTCATAAACACAAAAAAAAAATTAGTGCCCAATATTTCAATACACCAGAAGAAATTTAACATACAGATACAATGTGTAATAACAACACTCTGGTCCGTCAAGGACGTGTGGCGATATTGGCCTCGGGCCCCGCCGTACGGAAATCTTTAGTCGCCAAATGAGAACTCGGGCTCACAATTTTCACCTCCTATACACACAATATAGTAAAAATAAATTGTCATAGACGAAAAATGCGTATAATTGTCTTTTCACTTAATATAATTAAAAATTCCGTAACTAATGACGAATTACGCGCAGTTACCGTGCAGTAAAATGGCGACGGTCAATCTGTTGATCGACAGGCCCACAAGATAAAATGTCTGCCGTGTAGGTAGTGCATGTGTACTTACAGTTGTTTGGTCGTCGTTACGTTTCTTCTAGCTGTGCAACTATGAAAACTACACCTGAGATACACCACTAACGCGATGCGAATATTTCGCCTATCGAAGCAATTGTGTTTTACAAAACGCACAGCAGAGAATACGGGACAAGGATTGAAAAAATGTTAATCACACTCGGGGGCCACGCAACACTCGTCGAACTCGTCAGGCGAAATGACGACAAATCAGAAACACGTATGATATCACAAGCGAATACGAACAGAGCATACAAAAGGATGTTCGCCCGAGCATGCGCGTACATACAATGACTCGTCGTTTTCCGGGGTGGGAAAGGCTGTCAGTGTGACCATACTTAGGGAACAAAAATGATTTAACTCTGAACAAATATAAACTACCGATTATCAGATGTTTTATGACGATGTTCTCCGAATAATATGATATAATAATTATAATACGATAATGAAGCACGGAAGATTATTTTATGCATTTTATTACCACCGTGTTTGTTAGCATGCGTAGTCGTTATTTTCTGCTCTTTCTCCAGGTTAGCTTATAGTGGGGATATTAATAACTATTAACAATAAATAATTATTCGTACGAATTGTCCAAAATGAATAGTTCGATTGGGCATCGCAAATACAAGACGGGAAATAACCTTGGTGGATGTTAGTACCGTGTCCTTTAAACCATACTAAATGTCGTTTCTACATGGTCATACTTATTTTATAAACCCTAATACAGCCAAATAAGTAGTTTAATAATTTTTTTAATAGATATGTTGTAAAATTTACAAAAGTATAACGTGTTTGTTTTTTAGGCACACCTTTTCACACTACTTCATTCGAGGCCCTTATATAAGGGATCTTGAGAAAAAATACTATCCCTCGTAAAAACTTCTCTAGAATATAACTTACTTAAAGTGTCTTTAAATATGCTATTATTATAATCTAACATCAAATGAAATTTATTATCTATTGTAAAGCGTGTAAAAAAGAAATGAGTCAAATAATGGAAATTATTATTTTTTTAAATACTTAATGTATATAAAAACACAAAAACAAGAATTATTCGATCAAAATTACTAATATAATATTTGCGAATTCTGAATAATTATTATTTTTCAAAAAAGTTAAATTATAATACTTTATAAGATACTCTATAAGAAATAGACTAAAGAAAAATTGACCCGGAAAATATTTCAAATTAGATTTTAGCTTATTACCAGTATGTAATCTCACAATTTTAACGGATTAGTTCCTATGTATGTTAGAATACAGTGTTAAGAAATAATAAGGAAAGGTGATTTATTATAAACAATAGGAATATTGACCACCTCCATAACAATTTTAATTTGTAGTTGATAGTCTTTTTATAAGTCGCCATATCTGAACAGGAATAACTCATTAATTGCCATTATTCACCATAGACATTTAACTATATATTGACTTAAATAGAATCAATAATTATTAATAATACAATCAAGCATTAATACACATTGTTAATTGATAAATTAAAGAGAATAATTGGCGTCTACTATTAAAAATTAATTAAAGATTGTCATAACCTAAGATACTTATGAGTTAGTATATCATCAGCTAATACACTTATCTGGTGAAATCGAATTAATAAAAATATTTAAAATAACCTGCAAACCATTGTACATGTTAAAGTATAGCGAAATAACACAATAACTAATTATAGTAAATTTAAATTAAACAGATTGTATTTGTAGAAAAAATTATCAGCGATGGGAAAGAACGCGTTCACGTGAACGTGTTTAAATTATATAAACTATACACGAATGTGTTTAAATTTTAGAAAATGAACTTGAACGTGAACTTAATTCTTTAAGTAATTATTTCTTTATTCTTCATTCTTTTTGTATGAACTTTAATGTTTTTGAATCGATCATTGCAAAGTTCATTTCTCTAACATCTACCCCGTTTAAGTTTATAAAAAAATAAATATCTAGAATTTAAAATCGATGTTGATTTTACATTAATTTTTATGAAATAATATTATATATTAGCGTGGTAAAATCTTATAAGATCGTTGTTAGTACAATCACAGAGTAGATAATATATTTTATCTATTTTAATGTACTATTGTCATGACACAGAATTCAGAATGAATGAATGCATTTATACTAAGGTAGATGCTGTCAAAAATCTATTGTTAACTAATTAAGAAAACAATATCATAAAATATAAAGCTAGCATTGATCAGAGAGGTGTTGAAAACACCGATAGCTTTCCAGTAGTGACGTATGTATGAGTAGTTCTAGGGGTTTAACCCCCTCCCCGAAACAAGCAGAGATATTTAGTGGGAGCATCACCCCATAGAAGTCTGTTATCAATCTATATTACAAACCTACCCGAACTAAAATCTTGCGTACGCTACTACATCCCTAAAATTTTGTTCAAATTTCGTCATTGCTATAATAAGACTAATAGTTTCTACCTTTTAGATTTAATGAATAAAATTAAAGCTGTGATAGATTGGTCCACTAAGATACCGAAATGTTCTCTATGAACCGGTCGTCGTTGACACAATTTTAGTTTTTAGCTTCGATGCGAAGCTGAAAAGGAATTAATTTTACTCTGATTTGTCTTTTTTTTTTGCATCTGTGTACGCTCAATCTCAGCTCGCGGAATCGATTTTGATGAACAATACATTAAAAGATTACAAATCGTATCTAATCGGAAACATTATCCTCAAAAATTGAAAAATTTTTTTCATTTCCCGTAAATCGGGGAAATCTCCAAAAAAATTACAAATTTAAAAATCGCTAATTTTAGAAATTTTTCAATTTTTTTTTAAATAAAACCATAACTTTATCAAAAATGACCAAATTAATATAATTTTTTATAGATACACGAGGTATTTACCTATCATTTAATATACTTTTTTTTATAAATCTATGTACTACATTATACAAACAAATGTACTACATCTCATATACCTTAATTCACGTGATGAATACATGTGTAATATAACATACACTTAGATAGGTATATAATAGACAAGTAAAATTTGCCACACTAAAAAACGATTTAAGAAACACGTACAAAAAATAATTATATATACCATGTGCAAAATACAAGGTCTCCGTAATACATGTTAACGACCATATAAACACGAAATTTAATATAAATTGATTGTCCCTTTATTGCACAATAGTCAGTTGCTTTATGTATAGTAACTGTATTTTCGTTTTCCGCTGATTTATGACGTGTTTGTTAACTGTTATGACGTAATAATTATTCGTTTAAACGCTGGACTGCAGCCGCAATTATAAATATGATGTTCTATGAGACTTTGTTTTATACATTTAATGCGTATATTTATACAACACGTATATTCATGTATATCAGTCAGTGACCATTGTGAACGAAGGGCAAGGGCAAATTTCTAAACAACGCTGTTATAACTATTATTTATTTTCGCAACAAAATCTACGCACTAAAAACATTTAAAAATACAAACAAAGCGCTGTTATCCAAACTCAGATTATAAAACAAAGCGTTACGTCGCATTAATTCTTAAGCAGAAAAAAAAACAAAGAGGTTTTTTTTAGATCGATGAATGAATTTTTACATTTTCTGATATTTACTTGATAAAGGTACTATTATATAAGAGTCATCCTAGAAATATCTATCACTGATATCGGATGTGTCGAGTAAATTTTGATAACTAAATTACCTTAAGATAACGTCACACAGCCGTAATTTTGGGCTTAAAATCTATCAAAAGTATAATCTTTATTACATGGTCTAAAATGATCGTAGAAATTTGAAATGTTGAGGATATTTAAAAAACAATATTTTGAAATGTTTGTAATGAGCTTTTCTTTCTTGAGATTTATAGTTTGGCCGTAACATTTTTGGTAAAGATATAGTTTTTTTTTAACTTAAACAGTTCATTGGTGAATAGTGATATATTAAAAAGCCCATTACACAATCATTTCCAAATGTTACATTTTTCGCCTTCCCGAAATTTTAATACTCGAAGATGAAATCTAACAGGATATGATCATTTATAAGTCAAACATAAAAATGAAGGATAAATGTAAAAAACTGCGTTTTTAGTCGAGTGGACAAAAATCGTACCACAAACAGCGAATTGTCGTCGTTGTCCGCGGCGTTATCTTAATGACCTATTATAGCGGCGTTTTCAATTCTCCAAAATATAGAAATATTTATTTATATGCAGCAGTAAAACATTATTTGATTTTGTAATTATCAATCAATTCTGTCTATCGATAATATCAAGATGTATAAAAATTTTCTTACAGATCTAATAAAGTTACGGCAAATCCATGTTTTTTAGTGTAGGTACTTGGCGTGCTCAGATATCGATAATTTTTTTTTTTATATGAAAACTATCTGGACACCGTAGAAATTATTGGCGTAAGCTAATCGCGGTTGTCCGCTCGCCGTGACCTTTGAAGTTACAACGTCTTTAACGAAAACATTTATAGTAGCCAGTGTATTATGATTTAATATTAGTTCTTATTGGACCAATATTTTTGTATAATACATCAAAAGATTCCAAATTATATCTAGTTAAAATTATAACACAAATATTAAAAAAACTACCTTTAAGATTTTTATTTAATTTTGTTTCAAGTATAAATATCTTTAAAAATTAAACAATTGTTAAAAACGGTCAATTTTAATATTTTTTTTAAGTTTCAACTTGAATTTAATGTATTTTAAATAAATAAAGTTATTACAATATTGTGATACTTTACACAAGTACCTTTACCATTTCAGGTACCTATTATTAACTTTGTAAGTAGGTACTATAATTATAGTAACAAATACTATAACTAGTATTTGTTTTGTATACATAGATAATGAATTTTCAAGCTTGAAATATAAAAAATTGTTATATTCTTAGAGGGTCTGTCTCCCCTCAAGTCTCTTCCTGATTTCTGTTCATGGCTATATGTAATTATAGCATATTTAGTAAAGAATGAAAAAAACCCGATATATATTCTAAAAATACTGATCAATAATAAACGGTTAGCAGGGGGCGAAACTATCCCACATTCCAAATAATTCGTCCTTGTAATTATATTATTAGAGTAATACACTTAATTATTAATAATATATTTATTAAACAAATTTTAAATTGTTTATTTGCAGTAATTATATTGTTTATTAGTAAGATTAAATATTGTCATTTAACATCCAATCCATACTATTTAGTTACAGATCTAATTCAATACAACATCAGTATGTATTGAATACAATTTAACATTCAACAATATAACTTAACAAGTTGTATAGATTTAATTAAAAAAAAAAAACAAAATAAACATGTACAATTAATTTTTAAGTACAGTAAATTAATATTGCTAATCAATAAACTCAATTAAAAAGTTAAATAAAACTTTATATTATCATACTAAAAATTAAGAGGCTTGTTCATAATTTTAAACATAAACATAAAAAAAAAAAATTAAAGGAGTTTGCAAAATTAGTTGTTTTAATGTTTCAACTGTTTAAAGTTTATCTAATTAACACTGAAAAAAAGAAATGTATTTGCATAAAAATTTTAATAGGCCAAGTAATTAAATATATACATAGCAGAAACTTGTAAAGTATATTTTCAACAATACAATATTTCATAAAAAAGTCCAACTTCTTTATTATACACAATTTGAGAAATGTAATTCAATGGGCTGTTTTCCCAACTAAAATTCTTAGTTTTAAATAAATTAAGAAAATAAAATAAAGAAACAAAAAAAAAAAANATAAATTAAGAAAATAAAATAAAGAAAAAAAAAAAAAAAAAAAAACCAATATACATATTTTATGATATTTATACATTTATTATCAAGTATCTTCACAAGTGCTAGATGGTTTATTTCTTGATACCAATGGTCTAGCCCATTCAACAAATTCATCAATTAAAACTGGCCAAGCTCCTTCTTGGTCATACTCAGTCATTTCATCATCAATGACACATGCAAATTCAAGTAACAGATTCCAGGTATCTCTAGGTATAGATTTATTATGATGCTCCTATAAACAATATATAATACAAGTCTAAATATATAATAAATAGTTTTTAAAAATATATTTATCAGTAAAATTAATAAAGTACTTTATTCTCGTGGTATTTCAGTAAAAAATTAAATAATAGACTTATTTCTTTATTTTATGTAATTGTTTATACTACGTTTTTTTAATTCAATTATTTTTAACAGGTAAATAAAAATATTTGAATTCATCAGAGTCATAAATAGAGTTTGGCCCATACTCATCATCCTTATCTTATTCTCATGTACAAATTAATGAGATAATGATAATAATATTTTGATAGTTTATGAAACCAGGAAGTTTAAATTGGTCTATTATTATTTTAGAGTTAATTACATAATAAAATATTTCATAATGCAGTCCATAAACATATTTCAAATCTTCTATATTATATTGATAGTGTGTCTATGATACAGACAGCAAATTTAGTTTTCTTACAATATGAGGTATGACTATTAAGGGGTTAGAAGTAGTGAGGTGTAAAAAATGAGTATTTATAATAATAATTATCATGTTATCAACCTAAATGAAAGTGTATCAGGCTTTGAATCACAAATGAATGGTGGCCTACAGGTTCATGATTTAAATTACAATTTCTGGGTGTAAGATTATTATATTTTTAATGTATGACCTGTCTGCAGCAAAATCCTAAATATGCTAATGGTACATCTTATAAAATGAAGCATTTATAAAAATATAAATTTCTTTTTAATTATTAACGATTACTTTTTTTTTTAAATACTATCACTTACTCTTAAAAATTGACACCATAATTCAAGAAACCTGAATCTTCCAACAAATATTATGTTCCAATAAGTAATGGCCATATCTAAATCAAGACCTTTCTGGCCAATATTTTTGGCATAATTAAAAGCAAAATAGTAAAAATCCTTGAATTTAGGAGCATCAGAGAGTTCTCTTTCTAATGTTGGTAACCTGAGCCTAAGCTTTTCTATTGAATCTGATCTAAAGAAGTAAATAATAATTGTTAATAAATAAATTTAAAACTTTAGAAAAAGTTACTAATATTTAACTTTTTAATATACAAAATTTCTTGAAAACAAAAAAAATTTTAAATTTGCATAAATAAAAAAATTGTTTAATTTAATAAACTCTACAATAATATGTAATAAAAAAAAATTTATTTATTTTATCTCTTCAGAATTAAAATATCTTAACTTTAATTGTCTTTAATAGGAATTTTTTTGGTGTTAAAATATTTTTTATTCAATGAATCGTTTTTTGTTATTGCTTGTTAAAGTTTAACGTTTTTTTAACAATTTTCTATTGATAATTTTCTGTTTAGTATACAGTAATTGTCATATATTTATGATATGACACATAAACAAGTTTTAGTTATAATTCTTGTTATCATATCTGTCACTTATAACAGTAGGAATAATTATCAATGATAATTTATAGTCCATAAAATAGATTATTGTTTCCTCTAGTATTATAAGGTCCAAATTAATGATGAATTTCTATTTTAAATGTAAATCAATAAATATATTTTAACCCAAACAATTACTTTGATAAAAAAAATTTATCAAAATAAATTTCTAATTTAAACTAAAATATATAATAATTAAAATAGAAGTTTTCATTAAAGAAAATTAAAGTTTAGCTTTTTTATCACTGAAGAGATGACAAAAATATTCTTTAATTACATATTATTGTACAGTTTAATGAATCAAACAATATTTTTCTTTACAAAAATTGAAAATATTTAAATGAATAAAAAAGTGATTAGATATTACTATCAAAATCTAAACATTTTAACTAATATTATTAATTTATAATAAAAATATTAATATTTTTATTTTTGAATATTGTAAGAAATTTTTAAACTGTTATTCAATGAAATCTTCTTCTTCTTCCTCGTTTTAATCCCAATTACTTGGAGTCGACAGCCCTTATCCTAAACTTCCACTTGATACGATCTCCCACATCAGCTGTCCTCATATCACATTCAATAGCATCCCTCCATCTCTTTTTTGGTCTTCCTCTACCTTTTCTTCCTTTAACATTCATTTCTATAACAGTTCTTACAGCTTCCGATTCATATCTCCTCATAACATGACCAATCATTTAAGTGTTTTCTCTCATCTTATCCACAATTGATGCTACACCTATACTCCTTCTTATATGTTCATTCCTTATCCTATATTTTCTCTCCACTCATCCATCTAAGCATTCTCATCTCTGCTACACTCATTCTCTGCTCTACTTTCTTATTAACAACCGCCTAACACTCTGAACCATATATCATAGCTAGCCTCACTACAGTCTTGTAGAATTTACCTTTCAGTCTCATTGGAATTCTTTTATCGCATAAGACGTCAGATGCTTCTCTCCACTTCAATCACCCGCACTTAATTCTGTGTCTTACATCCTCGTCAATACCACCACCATGGCACCTCTCCTTGTATTTCTCTAGTAATTTTATCCATCACTATAGGAATAAGTAAGGGCTTAGAGCAGAACCTTGGTGCACTCCTACTCTTACTCAGAAACCTTCTGTTACTCCTCCTACGCTCTTTTATCCTGGTACAAGTGCCATTATACATATCCTCTATTATATTAATGTACCTTTTCTCATTAATGCCCATTAAAAAATCTCTCTCGGTACTCTATCATACGCTTTCTCCAATACATACAAAATATGTATTCATATACTCAAATACCATACACAGCTTTTTCTTCTTTTCCCTAAACTTTTCTATTAGTTGTCTCACACAAAATACTGGCTCCATTGTTGACTTACCAGGCATATATCCAAACTGGTTTTTAGATACTGATGTCTCATTTCATATTCTCTTATCTATTACCTTTTCCCAAATTTTCATATGACTCATAAGCTTTATGCCTCTATAATTTCCACACTCCTGTATGTCACCTTTACCTTTAAATACGGCACCACAATACTATTCCTCTATTCATTTGGAATTTTCCCTTCTAATAAGATTTTATTTAAAAGTTCCTTCAACCATCTTATGCCAACACCACCTAATATTTTCCATACTTCTACCAGCACTTCATCTGGTCCTACTATATTCTTTTTCAATGATGCCACAGCCTCCCATACCTCTTTCTCACTAATTAAATCTACCTGTCCCTCATTCCACGAGATATCCTCTAATATCTCTTTTAGGTACTCATCATTCTGTAATTTTTCAAAATACTATTTCCAACTTTTTTTCACATCATTATCACTCGAGAGTACCTAATTATCAACACTTTTTATACACCTTAATGACAATCTTTAAACCTTTTCTCTCTTACCTTTGCAAGTCTATAGATATCTTTCTCGCCTTCCTTTGTTCCTAGCCTATCATACCTCTTAAACTTCGCCTTACTTACTGCACATTTGAATTCTTTAAACAAGCGTTTATACTCTATCCAGTCTTCTCTCCTTTTGTTTTTCTGCCATACTTTGAATTGCTTTTTCTTACTTTCTATTATTTTTTTGAACGTCCTCATCCTACCACCAGGTTCCCTCGTTTCCTAGCATTCTACTCCTACTCTCACCAACAATCTCCTTTGCAGTATTTTTTACACAACTAGCAAATCTATTCCACACATCATTTATGTCTCCCTCGACATTCCATACGGTCTCTCTTTTACCGTCTTTACAAATTCTTTTTCATTTTCCCCTTTCAATTTCCACCACCGGATCTTCAATTTTCCCCCTCTATTTCTTCTATTTTTATTTAATCTCTTCCGGTACACCACAACTCCATTACCATCAGTCTATCTTGTGTAGTTACACTCTCGCCTGGTATAACTTTACAATCTTTTACTCGCTTTACGCTTTCTCTCTTCCACATAAAATAATCAATCTGTGATCTATTCCTCCCACTCTTATAAGTTATATAATAATCTTCCCTCTTTTTAAAATAAATATTAACCACAGAAAGATCATACGATACTGCGAAATCCAAGATTCTTTCTCCAGCCTCATTTTTCCCACTAAAACTACCATACCCTCCATGTAATCATGGAGGGTATGGCTTTCATATCCTCTCCTCTCATTACTTACATGTATATCCATATCTGCACCTATCACTGCATCCTCATTGCCAGGTACTCCTTACATCACCTCATTCATCTCTCTCCAAAACACTTCCTTGTCTATTTTATCACATTCTACTTGTGGTGCATAGGCATTTATTACATTCAGCACTTTTTCCTCGAATATCAATTTTATGACTATAATTCTGTCACTTTTCCTAGCTACTTCTAATACTTTACTTTTCATCTTCTCATCCATTATTATCCTTACACCATTTTTTGAACTAGACTTAACTGAGTATATTATTTTATAACCCTCACCTATTACTCTCAATTAGTCGCCTCTTACGACTGGCAGAGGGGCCATGGAAGTATTCTTATCCCCCATTCACAGGGAAATGTTATTCAATAAAATACTAACAAAAAAAAAAATGTTGTAAAGTTACAAAAAAACTAAATTTAGCATGACTTTTTGAATAAATTGTGATAATTTATATAAACAATAAAATGTATTAACTACAATAACATAAAATATTAAAAAATTAAAAAATTACAAAATATTTCGAGGATGCTATTGAAAATACTGGATGAGAGATGTTAAGGAGTACCCATTATTTCCCCCCATATTTAATATTAACAAAATTCTAAGTATGCCAACAAATTCAACCTATATTTACCCCATTTTAGTCATGCCATTGATAAATTCCTGTTTGGTAAATTCACACTGAGCAGCAGCTTGACATTTCCAAGCAATGATAAGTACAAGTATAGAATCAGGAGGTAATATAAGATCTTCTAGTAACCGCATAACACCATCTACATTAATTTTATTTGGTTCTGTTGGATCTGAAATATAAAAGAAACTATTTTGTAATGAAAATACAATTTATAATAAGTATTTTTAAACAAGAGTTTTATAAAAAAATTAATTGAAAAATTACTCTTAAAAATATTTAATGTCAGTTAATAACTAAAGTAATTGAATATTATAATTAAAAATGAAGTACAGGTAAAGGTGTACTTCACCTAATCTTGCCAAGTTAATCAGGACAAGAATATAATTTTTATTTGTTAAAAGTCATGAAATTAAAAGTTTAATTTCAAATGCATTTTAATGAAAGTACTGACAATACAGGTAAAAGGTAGTCATTGTAAAAATCAGAAATTCATTGAAAAAGATATGATAGAAATTATTATTTGAATTAAAAAAGTCAAATACAAGTTGAAACTTTCAATATTAGATTTTATTATAGTTTTCATGAGGATATAATCTTGTATTAAAAAAATGTATCTGTATTTTAGCTTTATATCAAAAGATACATATAAATACATAAAGAAATAAATAAAAATAAATGCAAAAAAAAAAATAAAATCTAGCACAGTGGAATCGTATCATAATGTAGATGTGGCATAATAAGAACTAGTATAGATGATATCTGACAGTGATTAAAGCACTCTCATAAAAAACACAATAAAAATCTGTAGATAGTGTTTAATTTTTAGAAGGAATTATTTAATTATTTCAAAAGTAACATGAACTCCTATTTCCTTATATATATCCTCATTATAAGTTTTATGATTTATAATTATAATATGGTTATGGTTAATATGGTTTTCGTTATGTTATGAGAAGAGAAGAATCGGAAGCTGTAAGAACAGTTATAGAAATAAATGTTGAAGGAATAAGAGGTAAAGGAAGTTAAAAAAAGAGATGGAGGGATGCTATTGAATATGATATGAGGACAGTTGATGTGGGAGATTGTGTCAAGTGGTAGTTTAGGATAAGGGTGGCCAACCCCAAGAAGTTGGGATTAAGAAGAGGAAGAATAAGAAGATGATTTATAATTATAATATATGAATCAATATTTATTATAGTAATTAAATTTAGTATTGTAATTTTTACAGAGAAATTATAAGTTATAATATAGTTGTATATTTTGTTAGTTCTATGGCAAACATGTATCAAAAATATAAATATAAATTTATCAAAAAAAAATATAGAATTAAGAAAGTTAACGGTCTTAATTTAATTATTATGACTTTTGTTAGTTAATTATTATAACAGTCATGATATTTAAATTTAAATATATCATCATTCCCTTTTAATATAGTTAGTTTAATATACTCTTATGTCTTTTCAAGAGAATACCAATGTGTAAATTATTATAAAATTACTTATTAACAAGTTAAGAAATAGTTACTATTATAAGTTAACAATTTTACCTTTGTATCTGTTATACATGGTTTCCAGTTTTCTTTTGTCAACAGTTGAACTTGATTGAGTATTAATTTTACCTGTATCATATTCAAGTGGATTTTGAAAAAAATTATCAGATGCTTGTTCTAATTTCCAATCATTTTTAGCTAAACAAAATATGGCAACATTTTCTGAAGTTTGTGTAAATGCCATAAACTTTTTAACTTTTTCCCTTTGAGATGATTTTAATTTATTCTAATAATATAAACAAAAATACTGACATCATAATTAAATACTATACATTATATTTGTGAAGATATTTCATTCACTTAAATATGAAGAGAAAAATGGATGAATTACTTCATGAAGCTATTCTTAGTTTTTAATTAAGGTCACAACTTACCATTTCGAAAATATTTTCAGTTGATAATTAAAATAGTAACAAAAATTTGCAACGCTATAATGATAAACTAATCCAAAAATCTAGTATTTTTAGCACACCACTAGTCATGGCTGATAATATATATATATATTTTTTAAATTAAACTCAGTTACAAATTAGAGAATAAACTGCATACATTTTCTCCGATAGAACAAAATATATTTGTATTCTATCATAAAAATATTAAAGATAGAGTTAAAGGTATTTCAATCAAAGTACAAGCTGTAAGATAACTTAAGTGATTAAAGTTTTGGCAGTAATAATAAAAGGTAAAGTAGAAATGTATAGAATTTTGTTAACATTAATGATAAGACTACTGACGAAATATAAGTGATAACTACTCTCGACGCTGTTGTGGAAGTACTTGCTAGTTTTTACCCGTATAATTTCAAATATATAGTTAATAAAATTTAAATAAAATAAAAAATTGAGTAACATTTATATGAAAAATACAAATAAAATTGACAATATTTGATTGGTTTGCATCTTGAGGTGACAAAAATCAAAAAAAAAAAAATAGGATAAATATTTTAATAATCAACAATATACAATATTATCTTATATACGAATAAACAATTGACAATCTAATGATAATATGTGTGATAACCACCACCTACTTAGTTGTTCTAAGCCTAAAATACGAATTAACCGTAAATATTAAAATGAATATAAATAATATCCACTAGATTTGTGAAGTATTTGGTTGATGATTAAACAGCTTCATCTAAAAAATTTTCAACTTTTAGAAGTTTTGTTCAATTTGTAGTATCTATATTTTTCTAATTACTATTATATATAATGAAACAGTGTATTAATCCTCAACTTGAAAAGTGTAGAAAATTAGTTCGCACTCATCTTGACTTGGTACGTATATATACACACATTCATTAAAAAAAATATTATACAATGTATAAAACTATTCAATAATTTTAAATACATTTTTATTTTTAAGCAATTATTTTCTGCAGCATTATTTTGGGCAGATAAAGCAGCCACATTAAGTCATTCAGACCCAAAAGATGTTTACCAGTTGTCAAGTTGTATGTTTTTATTGAAACAATATCAAAGAGCAGTTGTATTGATTAAAAACAAAGGACTTGATAAAGTATGACTCGATAAGTAATTTTTCTGTTACTAGTACTATTAAAATGGTCAGTTTTTAATAGTTTTTATAAGCAAAAGCATATTTTTTAATATATAAACAAAATTGTTCTTTTTTATTATAATAATAATAAATGTATTGAAACATTTTAAATAGATAATAGTGATATTAATTTATATTTAAAAATTATTATTATTAATAAATTATTCACCTCAACTATTTTAAATATCAAACATTTATAACTTCAAAATATTTTGTATTAGTGTAATCTTATTACAGTATATTTATTAGTATTTTCATATTAAGCATTTTTTTCTAAAAATTAGATATTTTACTGGACAACAATTTTTTCTTATTTTATCTAAAAAAAAAAAAAACATTCTTACCATTTAATTTTATCCAATTTTTCCCTCCCCACATACCTTCTTAAATAAAGATATAAGATTTTGTGAATGAATTCAGGAAACAGTTAAAAGAACTTTGTAATTTTAAACTTTGTAGAAGTATAATTGCAAAGAAATTAAACATATCTGATTAAAAACATTAGAAAAAAGTTCACGAATCATGAAAAGATCCTTATAAAAAAATTGCTTAATATTTAAAATAAAATACTAGTTTTAAATTAATCAAAAATATGGAATGATAAAAAAGTAACTAATAGAGTACAATATAAAATTTTTGATAATTTTCATAAATAAAAAACTTAATAAGTGTGTTAATTAAAAAAAATTAGTGCACCCCTACATTTTTGAATTGTATAGCTTTAATTGATTTATATCAATTATATAGTAAATTTAATTTAATCATTTTTTCTATATTTAATACATAATTTTAACAATTTATAGTTAACGTATTTTGTCAAAATAGAAATCATAAAATAAAAATGTAATTCATTATTATTCATAAAGGTTACAATAAATATTTAATTGTATAAGTATTTTTTAGACTGATATGCTGTGTTATTATATGGTATTGAGATGTTTAGTGGAAGCTAAGGATTATACAGAAGCAGCTAACATTATTAATTCAGAAATGAATCCAACATCATGTAATGTTTCTCTACAACAACAAGATATGAAATCTCATGATAGTCTCACATATTTCAATGTTAGTAAAGTAAATTTGTAATAATTATTCGAGGAATTTAATAATTAAAAAAAGAACTCTTTAAATAAAAAACTTATTATTATTATGCATTAGTTAAATTAGTATTATTAGTTAAATTAGGTATTTTTTCAAAAAACACAAATAAATAAATTCACTTATCTTCTTCTTGGAGTTCTGTCTAGTTTTATTTATCAAATAAACCTAAAAAAAAAAAACTAATATGTACAAGAAATCAAAATAAAATAAGGTGGTAGATCTTTTAAATGTTAATGGGATACCATCTAATTTTATTCTATATCTAACAATAGATACTCTGTAAAAATGTAAGACCAAAAAAATAAAAACCCAGCACAGTAGGACCGAAACATAGTGTAAATGTTATATAGTTGGGACCAGTATTAACAATTAAATTAGCATCAGTATCATAAAAAAACACTGTTGCGAATCTATTAAATTTCACAATAATTTGTATATTTGTAATTTCATAATTTCTGTTTCTAAATTTCACTCTAACATTAAATTATTTGATACTTGTGATTTAATTTACTCGTTAAATTATTTTCTTAATAATATTTTTAATTATTAAAAATAAATATTCAAGTAGATGGGATTAAGGCAAAGAAAAATAAAGTTTTTTTTTTTTTAATTGCTATTTATTTTAAGTTTGATGACTGATTTGTCATAGTAAAACAATCGTTCGGATGGTCTTTTTTTTTTTTAAATATTTTAGTGCATTTAAAGAATTATAAGTGTTATCATATACTCTAGAACATTTTCAAAAATTGAGTTAAAACATTTTTTTGGTTTTTATGGGTGGTTTTCTTTAAACTGTTCTTGTACTTGTTTTTGAGCAACCAAAAAAAAATTTTTTTTTAGTTTAAATTTTTACTGAGTGTCTATTTTTAGAGGTAAAACAAATTTTTTCATTAACATATTGAATATTGTCTAATTTTGCGCTACCCGAATATACAAGATCTTTCAAATGATAAGTATGTTAATATAAAACATTTCCTCCTTCAAAAACATTTTTCAATTTTTGTGCTAATATTCTTTTTTAAATAAGTGAATTTTCGAATGAATATAATATCTTATAGGTTCAAAGTGCTCTATTTTGTATAAAAGGAAAAATTTATGAAGCTTTAGATAACAGAAACTTTGCAACAGACTGTTACAAAGAAGCATTAAAAAATGATGTCCATTGTTATGAAGCTTTTCAGGCACTAATCCAGCATCAAATGTTAACGTCTACTGAAGGTTATTAAAATATTAACTTAGTTTAAAGAGAATTTAAGAAAATAATATTATTCTTGTTTTTATATTTAGAGAATTATTTAATACAATCGTTACCATGGGGCAACTATCCTAATGATTGTATCACAAAACCTATGTATGAAGTTCTTTTAAAAAAATATCAAGAACCCAAATTGACTGGTCCCTTTTCTCAATTTGATATACCAGTGGAATTAATGATGGATAATCTTGATATACAAATGGCAGAAGCTGAACGACATTATTATGCCTGTGCCTATAAAGATTGCTTTCAAATTACTGAAAGTGTTTTAAAGCAAGATCCCTATCATCCAGAATGTTTACCAATACATGTAGCATGTTTAGTTGAGTTAGAAAAATCAAACAGTTAGTAAATTTTCAATCAATTTATTTATTTATCTACAAAAAGTAAAATTCAATTCTCAAGTTAGATTTCATTATAATAGCATCTATTTAACATTGAATAAAAAGAAACACTTGAATTCATTATAAAGAAAAACTTATGTCTATAGCAAAATAATAACTCGTAATTTATTTTACTTAAATGCTGTTAGCATAATAAAAATACTGTAATATTTACATGATGTTAGACAACCATTCAAATGATATTAATGAAAAAACAAACTATACATGTAACTTATATTTATAATAAAAAGTTACATTTATATTCGTTCATTAGACATAACATACTACGCATTAGAGTGAAGTAAAAATGGTATTAATTTTTTTCCTTTTAATAAAAAAATTAAGCATTCAAAATTTTATTAAAATAAAAATACCATTCAGGTTCTTTATACTTTGAACAATTTTCATACATTTTTTTTTTACTACATTTTATTCTATTGACTATCTACTGACACTAATAAATAGTATATTTCTATATATTGCTATCTAAAATATTTTCAGTGCAAAAAGACATCTGTTTATAGTACCCAATTTGATTTTGCTCTGTTCACACAAAACATTCAAAGTCAAAAAATGTTTTTTCTTTTTTGAGACATTATAAAGAAGTTTGCAAAATTTCAAAAATGTTATTCTCAAGACACCCATTTTTGGACTATGTGTGTTTTGCATGATCGGAGGCATTAATTTTGTTTATTAAAATTAATTTTTTTGGTGCGCAGAAAATATTTAATATATTTTCTATTCATATTAATTCCCTAATAGAACAATGAGGTATATGCAAATTTTTTATTTTTTACACGAATACAACTAATAAGTTTAAATTTTTTTATTTATAAAAATAGATATATAAAATTTTAATTTATGTTATTCTTATGGAGAAGTGATATGTATAAAAATTGTCTGTACTAACAAAAAAACTATTAATTAATCTTTTTCAGATCTCTTTTACTTAGCACATAATTTAGTGGATTTACAACCAGATCAAGCAATATCATGGTTTGCTGTTGGTTGTTACTATTATTTAATTGGTATATTATAGAATAATACAATGTGTAAATGATAAAATTCTAAAGATTTATTATATTTTAAGGTAAAAGAGATCAAGGTAGACGATATCTTGGTAAAGCTACAAATCTGGATAACACTTTTGGACCAGCCTGGTTAGCATATGGCCATTCTTTTGCTGTTGAAAATGAACACGATCAGGCTATGGCTGCATACTTTAAAGCATCTCAACTCTTAAAAGGGTAATTTTTTGAAGATAATAATCATTGTGTTACTAAAATTGTTAGAATTGTAAAAATAATATTTCCAAATTTTGTTATAATTTGTTTTACTATAGAACTAATTAATCAAATAACACTATTTCAGAATTATAAAAACAATTAAAATTTTTTTAGCTGTCATTTACCACTCCTTTATATTGGTTTGGAATGTTCACTAACAAATAATATTATGATGGCTCAAAAGTACTTAAAAGAGGCTCTGGACATTGCTCCAAATGATCCATTTGTTTTACATGAGTTAGGTGTCATTGCATTTCAAAGTCATAGGTAAGAATAAATTTTTTTAGAAGAAAGAAAGTTCTCTTAAGTCATTTAGGAAAGTTTTATGTACAGCAAAACTGTTGAATTTAATAAATGTAGGGGTTCACTATCCCTTACGTAATATAAATAACCAAAACATTTTTTTTTCAAATTGTTTCCAATTGCAAAATAAAAATAAATTATTTTTATTTTTATTTTGCAAATAATTAGTTATGTATGATAAATAGATCTCGTCCTGTATGCATTTTTAAAATGTTGACCTTCAATAGTACCTTATAAATAGGATTCAGAACTTGATACACTTATAAAGTTTAGTTTAGTTATCCTGTGTAAATAAAAAAAAAAAAAATAGATATTTATTTAGTATACAGAGTGACCCACCACTCACTGACAACTAAAATAACTTTTGATCCAGTTAATATTTTTAGTTGATTTTTTTTTTAAATAATAGTTATACGTTAGGTCTATAGCTATATCTCAATAATTAATTTTTTTACATTTTATTAAAAATATTAATTATTTTTAAATTTTAAATAAAATGTAAAAAAAAAATCTAAGATAGCTATTTTGTAGAGTAGAATTTAAGAAAAATTTTAGTAAAAAAATATCTTATTAATATTCAGTAGTAAATATTCTGTAGCGTTTTGAAGTTTGTAAAAATTTGAATTTTCATGTACTATTTTACGGTTATAAACATTGAAATACGTATTGAGAAAAGGACAGAAGAAAACGCTATCTTTTCATGATTACTGTGTATACATATGATGATAGTGTGTATACATTACAAACTTGGCATAAATACCATGATAAGAAATTAGATAAGGCAATTATTACTTATCACTCTCATTCAAAAGTATATTGAAAAGATAGCGTTTTCTTCTGTCCTTTTCTCAATACGTATTTCAATGTTTAATACCGTAAAATAGTACATGAAAATTCAAATTTTCACAAACTTCAAAACGCTACAGAATATTTACTACTGAATATTAATAAGATATTTTTTTACTAAAATTTTTCTTAAATTCTACTCTACAAAATAGCTATCTTAGATTTTTTTTTTACATTTTATTTAAAATTTAAAAATAATTAATATTTTTAATAAAATGTAAAAAAATTAATTATTGAGATATAGCTATAGACCTAACGTATAACTATTATTAAAAAAAAAAATCAACTAAAAATATTAACTGGATCAAAAGTTATTTAAGTTGTCAGTGAGTGGTGGGCCACCTTGTATAGTTATAATAAATTTTCATGGAGTTAAGTGTCTCACAAATAAATGTATAAAGTTCTGAACTCGACCTTTAAATTTTCATAGTTATCAATTAATAATTTTAATAACAAATAATAGATAGCGATGTAAATATATCACTTTTTACAGATGATGCTAAATTATTTTGCTCAATAAAATCTTTTTCAGATGTTGAGGTATTACAAAAACAATTGTACAAATTTTTTTGGTGAAGTATTAAAAATTGCCTTCCTCTAAACATTGATAAGTGCAAAGTAGTTTCATTTACTCGTTCAAAAAACCTAATACTATTCAATTACAAATTAAATAATATTAAATTAAGCAGAGAAGCTGTTATTAAAGATTTAGGTGTACATTTTGAATCGGATTTATCTTATAAATTTCATCACAACTCACAATTAACTAATTGCTATAAAATGTTAGGCTTTATTAACAGAAATACTCAAAATTTTAAAAAAACATCCAGTTTGAAAACATTATACTGTTCCCTAGTTCGACCAACTCTGGATTTTGGCATTATAATATGGTCTCAAAATCTTTCTACATATTCCAAAGAACTTGATAGAGTACAAAATAAATTTCTTAAGAGGATAGCTTTCTTATCTAATTCAAATACATCTAGTGATTCATATAGTACTATTCAGGATTCTATTGGTTTAGATTCACTAGACCTAAGAAGAAAACTCTTTGATGTTTTATTTATTTATGACCTACTTAATGATCATATTGATTGTCCACATCTTCTGGCTTTAATTGGAATACGGGTTCCCTCTTATAACTCTAGATCATCTGATCTATTTTTTATTCCTCACTATCGTAAGAGTTTGGGTGCAGTTTTTTTTTCCTTGCGCGCTAGTTATGGCTAATATAGTGTCCATTTCCATTGATTTTTTTTGATAAAAATTGTGAAAAGTTCAAGTTAAATGCATCACTGGTATTAAAAAATAAAACCATTCAATAGTTTTTAGTCTAATTTATTTATTTATTCTTAATTATTTTATGTTATTCTCATACATTGTATTTTTGGTGTTTTATAAATAGTTTTAATATGTTCTTATTCTTATTGATTACTGTTTGTCTGTCATTATGTAATTTGTCAATATGTCTTATAATTTGTATATATTAATATATATATATATATAATGCCCCTTAAATGTTTATAAATAAATAAATAGTAGCTTTCAAAGTCACTATGCATTGGTTGATCAATTTCAATAACCAAACTATAAAAGATAAAATTTCTATAAGATGGTTAAACAGTGGAATAACAATAAAAAAATTAATGTAACATATCATTCAACTTTAACATACCGTTGTAACAGATTGAAAGATTGATTGGATAATAAAAATTATGAGAATAAAATTAATTGTAATATTTTTTTTGATAATTTCAAACTAAAAATAGGTACTCCCATTTAATAAAATAGATTTTTTATTCCCGAAGGCATGAAAAACTTTATAATTTATCTATATAGTATTGTATAATTTGTTAAACGAAAAATTGTTCTCTTTTAAAAACTCATTTTCTCCAAAACAATAGTTTGGCATAGAATGAGTGTCTTATCTTTAATGAATTAGCTGGTAAAAATATATTTTAGAAAACCTGCATCCTGTATAAATATGAATTTCACAGAAGTTTATGCCCTTAAATTTTATCAATGATTGCAAAAGAACATCCCAATAGTTACATCAATGTCAATTACCTAGTCAAATTATACCTTTATAATATGAAGGGTACAGGAAAATTACAGTAAAGTCTATTTTTTTATTTTGATTGTATGATAGCAATAAAGTAATGAAATCCATTCAGTTAAATATATTTTCATTTTGCTAGTATTAAAGAGTCTATTTTTGTTAACAAATTTACAGAAAAAAATTATTATGATTTACCTTGTACTCTTCATATTATAATACACACGTCTTGATTAAAATTATTTATATGAGAAAATTGAATTTTAAGATTGTCCTGGATGATTCTAAAGTGATAAATGTGTAATTTATTTAATTATTACATTATTTAATATGTTAAAAAATCTAAAATTTTGATTCTTCATTTAGGTATAAAGAAGCTGAAACCAGATTTTTGGAAGCACTAGAAAGAATAAAACAAATAAAACAACCAATAATTTCTGGAAAATGGGAAGCATTGTATAATAATTTGGGTCATGTTTATAGGAAACTTCAAAATTACTCAAAAGCTTTGGAATATCATAAACAAGTAAATTTTTCTAAAATTAATTTAATTGTACTATGATGGTAGATTTTCATAGTATTTCTTCATAATTAATAAATCTTTTTAGATCTTAATAAAAATTAATAGTCAAGAACAAATGTTTGTTATGAAAAAAAAAAATCATCATAGGATGTACAGCCCTCATAGATGTAATTATTGGACTAATAGATATATGTTTTTAATAGATAATTGGTTTTCTTATTTTTGGCCATAATTCAAATATTTAGTTAGTTTTAGAATAGCAACTTGTTGAATTGCCTATGTATACAAAGAGACCGGGTTTATGATAAATCACTAGATTACTCTCAAAATAAATTAATCTTAAAAAAAAAATAAAAACTTTTGGACAAGTATTTTGGAAGTTAAAAAGATTTCATTGTGATGACTGAATTTTTTACTTAAATGTCATTCATTAAATTATCTTAATTATAACAAAATTGATTGCAATTTTTTTTTTTTGTTCTATCAATTTTATTCTATAAATTAAAATTAAGGGTTCTTATTTAAGTAAATTGAACTATAAGTTTTTTATCACCGAAGGGATTGACTACTTAACGTTGTAATTTATTGAACCAAATAATTTTTCTCTAATAATAAAAATTTCTTTAATGTTTCTGAGAAATTTCCGAATTCTGTTAATTAATTTTTAACCCTTATGATTTGTATGGATGTCAACTATTTTTTAAATATCAAGATATACAGGTGTTCCATTAGGTTTTTACATCATTAACTTGTGATCCTACAAATATTTAGATTTACCTTTAGTAAAATAATTTTTAGAATTTTGGTCGATGTTAAAAAGCATATTTTAACTTCAATGCGATTCTAAGAAAGTATTGGTTTTAGGTTAGTATAGGACACATTATTCTTAATTCCACTACCTTAAAAATCATTTTTAAAAAAACTTTTCTTAAACTTTTGCAGTTTTAAAAACTGCCTCGAATATAGTTTAATAGGATTTCTAGAGACAATATGATTTGTAAGGTAAGATTTTTATGAAAATTCAATGAAATACTTAAGTACAGAAAGTTTTTAAAATAGCCATATGTACACTTTTTTTTTCAAAATGTTCTTGAAGATCTGACAACTTCTAATCTATATTATATGGAAACTTTTGAAATGTACAACTATGTAAAAAAAAATATGGAATTCATATATTTTTATCAGTTTTATCATGGACAATTTCTAAATTTTAGCAATAATTAATCATTTTAATGTATTTAACACTAAATATTTCTTTATGTTTGAAGGCTTTAGTAATATCACCAATGAACACATCTACTTTGACATGCATTGGATTTGTTCAAGCATTAAGTAAAAATTATACTGATGCTGTAGACACATTTCATAAAGCCTTGGGACAAAAGAGAGATGATACATTTAGTAGTACAATGTTAACTTGTGTACTAGAAATGTGTATTGAAGAACCACCAGTAATAACGGAACAAGCAGATGAAAAGATGACAGAAGGAATAAAAATAAATGAATTAGATAAATCATTTCAATTGAACGACGATAATGATTTAATTCTGCCATTCAGAAATTCAAAATTTAGACTTTGGAATAGAAGGTTAAAAAAGAAGCTGGAAGATTCAGATTTAAATACTCCAATGGATGATGATGATAGTAATGCTATGGCTGTTGATTCTAGTATAGTTGGAGATGAATCTAGTTATAATATGGACATGTCAACAAACATGTCTACTAATTCAGATAGTTTTAAGTAATTTTATAATCACTTATATTAACTTTTTTTTTTTACTTATGTCAAATCATAAATAAGGATAAATGTAATTTTGGAAAAATATATTTTAAGACTTATTTTTTTATTGTTACACAAATTGTTAAAATACATTGTTATTTCTAAAACACTGTATTTGGAATAAACACCTTAATATTTCTCTACTATTCCTATTTTGAACAATTTAATTTTTCTGTAAATATTGTAGATATAAACTTATTAACGATTAATGAAATACTTCATTGAAAGTCAATTTTTTTCATGTCAAAATTTAAGTAAAACTACATAATGTAACTACTGTATTATACTAGTTGGTTAGTTAATAAAATATAAGATAAGTTTAATCATACATAAATAGTAGAAATAAATTTAAAAAAAATTTTACATGTACCACAAACATAATATACTAAGAATTTTAATATTTATTGATTAAACTACCTACTAAATGAGTATAATTGTCAATAGATTATTGATTCTATCAAAGAATTTTCCTGTGCTAGAAAGTCAATACTAACCTACCTTATTTTCATTGAAATTTTAAGTAGATTCTCAAGTAATATTAATTTAAAATATATTTTAGTACATACATTATTGGTAGACAGGTGAGAATTTTTTTCTTATTTTCTCAACTTTTTTTAAAAAGAAATAAAATATTAGTTTCAAGAAAGCAATACTAAAAATTCATATTTTAATCATTAAGAGATGAACAATTATTTAGTTGTATATTGTAGTTTTTTAAGTTATCGGCTCTATTTACAATAACTTAAAATTCTTTATAGTTGCTGATAATTAAATGTCTCATTAAATTTCTATCACTCCATATAACTTAAAAATATATGATATTTATCACATTAATTACTAGTAATATTTTATTTAAAATTCTTGACTTTTACTTAGTTCTATAAATTAACTATAAAAATAGATTTTCCTAAATGGTTGGTAGATTTATTTTATTGGAATATAGTTAGTTTGAAATATTCACGTCTAGCGATTATTAATTTGATTTATGAAAATAATATTCAACAATAAAACGATAAATTTATCATTTTTAACTACGTAATTAAACTACGTTAATATAGTACGGATATTGAGTTTAAACCAATCATTAATGGTTTATATGACATAGTGCTAATCTATAGGGCTTTTTTTGCTACAGTAGATAGTTGCACTAAAATAAAGAGCAAAGTAAATTTTTAGTTTATTTCCTATTCTTAAAAGGATGACGCATTCAACATTTATCAAATGTCATAACTACTATAGTTAATGAAAGGATTTATGTATCTTGGGTGATAAATAAGAAATTTTACAATTTTTGTAAAAAAATTATATATTTCACTAAATAACAAAAAGTATCTCATTTTTTGTAAGTAAATACAAAAATTAATATTAATTTATATAATTATATAGTTTAAATAAGGCAACTAAAAAACATTAATAACTGATATATTTAAAAATCAGTAATTTACAATTTGTGAACATTAGAAAAGAAAAATAAATAAATGAAATTGTACTTCTACTAAATAACAAATCCCCAAACCCGCCCTACCTCCCCCCAAAAAATAGACAAAAATTTATCAAAATTGGTCAGTTTTCCTATCGTTGATGGATTTTTCAAAGTTGATCTACATCAAATCTTAAATAAAACATATATGTTAAAATTTACCAATTAGAAAAATATGTAAGAAATAAGACGAATGCAATAACTTACTGGTTTTGATTTGGAGAAAAACTATTGCTGCTTGGTGAAGTAAATCGAGGTGGTGAACTCATACTAGTAGGTGTATGTTTAGAATTCCTCATTAAAGGGCGATGAGTACTTAATGTTATACTAGAGTGTTTCCAGTTCCAACATCCGCGACAATAATACCGATAACACAATTGATCTCTGCAGAAGTAAGGACCAAGTTGAATGTTACAAACACTACAAGCACTATCTTCCAAATATGGATCGACTTGAATCTAAATAGAACATACATATGTATATTTACTTAAAAAAATTAAAGTGTAGTTTAAGAAAACTTATTAAATTTGCATATTTTATTTAGGTAGAAAAAATAACAATTCGAATCAATAAAAATCTTTCAGATTATTAATAAGACGAGTATGAAAAAATTTCTAAAAATAGCAATATTATAAGTGCAAATAGTTTGTTATTCATTAGTCAAATCTTTAAGCAAATATTAAAAAAAATAAATGGTTTAAATTAATAGTTGAAAATAGAAAAAGTAGATTAGTTAAGTAATCTTACAATTTTACAGAATTTTGGAGTTTTGACTTCCACATAAGACGCAGCTACTGCTTTTGTGTAAGATTGATAATTACTGAACGACACTCTACCTGATCCAATAGGATACTTGTGTTTATCGGTATCTATACCTAAAATTTAAACGTTTAATTTGTATTTTTTTAATTAATTGAAATTAAAGCTTACCCGCATAAGTTACATTTCCGAACAAGTCATCCATTATTCTAAACAAACCTTGAGCATTCATCATTCCGTGTAAAGCACCCACAAATACAGTCCTAGTAGGATCTAGTTTTTGTGAAGGGTGCTTTACACAATTACTGTCATTCATTAGCCAAGGGATTACTTGAACTTCTTTCCCCTTCATTTTTCTTGACGAAATTTTGAAGTAGTAATTTCCACCATTTGTACCCTTTGTACATGATTCCAAAAGTAATTTGACCATTTGATCAGACTGCATTATCAAATACACGTAACCTTTGGGTTGACTCAGATTATTAGACGTCCCTGGCCATTCGACTTTTATTGGACCAAATTGACTAAAAGCCATCATTAAACCATCCTCTGTTATATCCCATGGCACTCCACCCAAGAAAACTTTGCAGGAATAACTAGGAGAATTATGTACTACTTTAGGCAGTTGTCCGCTCCACGTAAAAACAGGATCTTTGTGTAATCCATCTAAAAAAAATTCATATTTGGTCAAACTATATTATACAAAGATTCTTTACAGTTAATAATTTATCAATTAGAGTTCAAAAAATTATTAGTTTCAAATTCTAAGAAAAATTACTTGAATTACGGTTTCTATTCCTGTTCTCGATTTGATTGTTGTTACTATCATTTTTAGGCCTTGTAGGAGACCAAAATGGAGGAGGAGATTTTTTTTCATAAACCGGCGATTGAGCAGCAGGTGAACCATATCTAGTGGGATATTGAGCTTGATTAGCTAACAGTGAATTTAACAAACTTTGTGCTTGATGATGAAAACTTTCACCAGCAGACAATCTCCCACTAGATATACGTTGCATGTTTACTAAATCTTGTTCAGTTAAAGGCGATGAACCATAAGGATTGATACTGACTTGATTCTAAAATAAAAAATTTTGTCTATAAAGTATTTTATAATTTAACCGAATACTCTGGTGTTTTCGCAAACACTTTTTAGGGTATACACGATTTGTGAGTGTATACCTTTAAATACGTGCAATTAAAAATTATGAACAGTTTACCAAAAAAAAAAAAAAATTGCTTATGGGTATACAGTGTATATAATAACTTACCAATAAGTCAGCTACAGCTTCAGGACTATTGGACACGTCTGAATCTTCTGGAGTATTCGACCTCGATCGCATTACATGCGTTAGAGGATCACTCCCATCACTATACGTAGGAGATACTCGATACTGTTGCGGGCTCTGATAGCCATAAGACGCAAAAGTTAAATCCAACTTTGGCCGTCTGACATTTTTACTCCCAATTTCACCACCACCGTCTTCATTTTGACAGACACTTCCAAAATCTGCCATATTAGTAATACTCCTATCAGAGAGATATGGCAAATGAAGAGAGTTACGTCTAATATTCGCCAATTGTTCCTAATTAAAAAAATAAATATTAAAAATTAGTTTACAAAATAATAGGATACAAAATAATAACACATTTCCAAATTAAAAAACACCAGGGATTAACAACACTTTAATGTTGCCATGGAGTTCAAAGATTTAAAATATCTGTTACAACTTACTTGAGCTGTATACTGTCGTACTTGAGTAGTAAAGTTTGGCACAGATTGTCGTCCTAACATTAAATTTCGTGGTTTATTCATGGTAAATTCAGACATGGAATTAAGGGAATCACCTAAAAGAAATTGAAATAACTTTCGTTAATAAATTAAGTAAGAAAAAATTTATTTATTTTGAGTCGAGCAAGTGTTAGACTAAAAGAATAAAAATAAAATTTATAAATTTACTCACCTGAATTCCTAGTTGGGCTTAAAATTTTATCGGGCGAAGAAAAGAGACTACTATAGTCTCTAGAATTTCTGTCTTGACCCACAGAAGGAGATGTGAGCAAACCTTCTGGCACGTCTTGATTTTGAAAAATTGATCCCTGAAAAATAGAATTTATTTACATAAAATATTTAATAAAAAATTTATAAATTTCAATAATAATAATTAATAAAAAAATAATAAACAATTATTAATTTGAACTTTAAAATTATAATTTGAAAAAATCAAATATAAAAAAAGATTAAATACTTACTCTTCTAAAAGTAGACATAGCGAGTCTGATGAAATGATGGGAAAGACAGTGGATGAAGAATAAAGGAAGGAAATAAAGGAAATAAAAATGATGACGGACGAGTAAAACCGCGGGAGCATAAAATACGTACTACCAACTCAACACTTGGCGATGAACTGAATGAAGAAGGACACTGAGGGCTGATTAATCGAGCTCAAAGTTACGGCGCATCTGGGCGGCGCATGAATTTGAGTAGTCGATTCTGATTGGTTTATAAAAAATGTGGCAGCCAATCAGAACAAAGAATCACATGCAAAGACACAGCCTAGTCAATTTTTCCTTTTTAACCAAGAAAACCCATTTTATAACTAAAAATAAAAAATTTGAAAATTTATCAACTTTCACTTTTTATTATTTCTAAAATATTTATTCCTATTTTTTTGCAAATATTATTGCAGGAATTAGAAAAATAAAATGTCATCATACAATTTGTAATGTTCAATCATTTTACTTTGGTATTTCATTTTAATATTTGTAACTCGAAGAAAACATAGGTGGAGCGATTTTTGGCGCTTACTTCTTTTTACCTTTTTATAAACTGTAAGTTTAATATATTTATCATTAAATCAACTTGATTTTTTCAATTAATTTTGACATAAATATAATGAGGGCTGATTTAAGGGATAAGATTGCCAGATATATGTTTAATTCAGTATGTTAATTAATAAATATTAAATTAAGTCAGTATGTAAAATAACATTTGAAGCTTACTAAAAAAACTATACTGACTTCGCTCTTAGAAATAAAAATTTGTGTTTAAATTTTTGAAAAAAAATATTTTTAAAAAAAATTTCTAGTTTTTTATCCATTGACTGGTATATTTATATATACACCTAAGCATATGAAAATAAATAATATAAACATATACTTATTTTTCATAAGACACTCTACAATAATATGTGTTAAAATAATTTTTTTTCATCTCTTTATGGTTAAAAACTGCACATTTTATTTTCTTAATAGGTACTCCCATTAACCTTAATGATATAGAAAAATAATGACAAAACAATTTTGTTCTAAAAATTATTTTTATCTTATCAACCGTTTACGTTTTAAAAATATTTTAAACTAAACATTTTTGATTAATTTTGTTTTTTTAATATCAAAGGCAGCAATAATATGTTATAATAAGACATGAATAGGATAGTACCGAAGCTAAAAAAATAAGGAGGTGAAACATTTTTGCTAATTGATTAATTTATTTTAAATAATCCAATCTCTTTTTCAATAGTTATATTTTGGTAGCATCCTTTTATATTAAATATTTAACGACTATAACGATTAAATTTTGCATAGTAGTGCGGTGTAACACCCATATAAACTCTTTTGGGATGATATAATTTTTTTTTAGTTATCAATAAAAATTTTCCACAAAGGTGACAAATAATTAATTTATTTATTAAAATACACTGCAGGGGCGTATTCACATATTTTCCGCCTATAGGCATTTAAAAATTGGCCACCCTTCATTACCTTATTATATAGGGGGCTCATTATTATATATTTTTGCCATAACACTTCTAATTCTTTCTCAAAAAAAAAGGTAACAGATAACGATTTATTGTATAAAAAATCTATAAAAACAAAATTGTTTCTATTTTTTTTTGTACAATATGATTATGTTAAAAGTGGGGATACCTATTTAAGAAAATTATTTTTGAGAATATAAGGCTAAAGTTGAAACTGTTAGAATCATTAGAAAACAAATTATTCTATCACAAAATTAATCTATAACAAGCATACATAACAATTTATCTATAATTATAACACTATAACAAATGATATAATAATTTATAATATAATTACACAACAACTTTTTAATTTTTAAAAAAAAAATATTGTTTGGTTTAAAAAAATCTATAGTTAAATCATTCCCAAAGGGATAAAAAATTTAAACTTTAATTTTTTTTATTGGGAATCTTTATTTTTAATTTGATAATATAAAAGAAATAATATTACAACAATTTTGTTCTTATAATTTTTTTATCCGGTCAACCATTTGTGTTTTAAAATTGTTTAAAAATTTGGATTTAATTAAAATTCATCATTAATTTGGTTTTCATAATACGGCAGGCAAGAATAATCTGTCTCAAAGGTTTATAAATTATCATCAGTATTAATAATTGCTATCGTGATGCATGAAGGAATGAACTGTATGCTAAACAGCAAATTACACTAACAATAAAAAAATAATTAAAAAGAAATCCAGAAAATAGTTATAATATCAATATCGAAGAGGGTAATACAGAAGTTTAATGTGTTAGAACGATTAGCCTTATTAATTCGAATTTAGTGGTTGAGTAAAAATATCTCTATCTTATTTTATTTTTATTCCTTCTTTATTATGTAAAGTTTTTAAGGGTTAAGCAAGCAACTTAATATTCACACTTACTCCAGTGGTTACATGAATTGTTCTTACGTTAATTACTCAGCTCAATGGTCACGATTGTTTTATTGAACGATTAATAATTTAGTTTTTATAAAACCAGAGGCAATCATAATTTTTTAAAATAAATTATTAATTATATTACTAATCAATAAAAAATTTTACACCTAGCTATGCAATGGTCGATGTGTGTCTTATTGTTAATCGATCACTTTCTCTCTCTCTCTCTCTCTCTCTCTATATATATATATATATATATATATATAATGAGATTTTAAGTTCAATTTTTATAGTCTAAATAATTAAATCACTTATTCAATTACAATTTTATTTGAGTAATGAATAAAGTAACTAGTAACCTAAAGTAACAAGTAAGATAATTTTATTTCATTTTAATATTAATTTACACAGTATTTCACTAATGTATGTATAAAATAAATTACTCCTTATAATCACTACCAGAGGCGTATTTGGGGAATGGAACAAAAGATACTCATTGCTTGACGCAATATACCTCTCACCTAAGTCACTCACCTAGGTAAGAGCTATAATTTTTGATATATATAGTTTGTCAGCAAACATGTAAATACTGTCTTAAAAAATATTTACATTGTAAGGTTGAAAGAAAAAATAAGATTAGTCAAGTTTTTGTAAATTGAGAAAATGAAATTTTAAACTTCAAAACGCCCTGTTATTTTACAGTACATCATAAATTTCGAGGGCTATTACTTCTGTATAACTTACTTTTTTCACTAGTTCGGAGACTTAAAAGATACATTATGACATATTGTATAATTTGTTACCAAAATCTTAATTTTGAAAATAATTGATTTATCTTATTTTTCCCGTGTACCAGATTAAGTATACAAGGGAAAATGAACGTCCCGGGTCTCATTTCAAATTTTTCTAGACTACTTAAGATTAAGTGGCAGTTTTTCTGGTTTTTTTTTCATTAATTTTTTTATAGTGGCGATATTTTACATATATATCTCAAGGTACCACCACGGGACTCATATTGGTCTTAATCCGGCCCTGTTACCCTTAATGTAAGGTTTACAAACGTTTCAGATTTCAATAATGAAAAAATATTGATTTTTTATGATTAGTAAAAATTGACTATGATTATATCAATATGACCAAAAGGGAAATAATAGTCAATTCAATATCCATGCAAATCGATAAGAATATTCAATATTTTCAATGAAAAATGTATGAAGTAACATAAATATTACTTTTAATATGAGCCTTTATTTATAGTATTCTTTACTAAATAAAAAAATGGGTACCCAATCCTTTTTAAACATCATTTTATAAAAAGCATAGTTTTTTTTTTTTTAAAGTTTTAATATTTATTTTTAAAGTTTATTGATGTTGGTTATTAACTCTGAGATGTTGAGAAGAAAAATTCTATATTTTGAAAATCAAAAATGTTTTCATTAAGTGGATAAACTGATATATATATTATTGATATCACTATCAGTTATTTTATAAGTATTATAAAACATTCACTTCTCCCCGCCAATCATGGAAAATGGACCAGTTTCTTGTTTACCAACAACTCCCAAGATGTCCAAAGCTAAAAAAGTAATCGAAGAAGCTTTGGAAAATCAAAATCCAGAGCTGGATCTGGCTGATAAAGGGGTTGTATCTTTTGAAGAGATGCCTGGACTCGGTGAGTATATTTACTTTTAACATTTCCTTTTAAGGAATCTTGTTTCCTAATCATATATTCCTTATATGGTCAGGTTTACTGATTATACATATGTCGATTATTTCTACTCGTATATTTCTTATTTTTTAGGGGTTCGGTGTTATATAACTTTTTTTGTCAAAATAAGATTATTTTACTCTAAAAAGAAAAATTATTCTTCGAAGTTTAAACGAAATTTAAGTTTGAGACAATCTACATAAAACCAACCCATATTTTTTTTTAAACTAATTCATTCTGGTTTTATATGTCATTTATTTTAAAACATAATATGTAATAATTAAATATGTTAGACTAATTTTGTTGAGGTATACAACATTAACAAATACTTTCTTTCTCAATTCATTGTGTTTTTAATTTCTTTAATGATTATAAAAATGTTAACAACAGTTTTTTTAAATAAGTATGTTCTCAACAGAAGTTGAAATTTATAAATGTGAAATTATATAATAGTTATATTGTGGCATATTTTATAGATATTTATATCTAGGCTGTAGGAGAAGTGTTTTATGATAAAAATAGTCATACTTCACTTCTAGTCTAAATTTTAACATGCTGATGAAGTTTTCTATTTTATTATCAAGTCAAATGTATGTTGCCATTTATAAAAATAAAGATGGTACCTATATAAGGCATGAACCAAATAAGTATTTAATCTCTTATAAATCAGGAAATAAATACTACTAAATGAAACCAAAAAAAAGTATTAAAAGTTATACTTATTTTAGAAGAAAATTTAAATCAATGATAAATTAATTGTCCTGTAAAATACAATTATATTCAGTAGCAAAAAGGAATATTAAAAATAGCTTTTAAATTATACAAAAATATGCTATAATATTATTAAAATTTTTTTTTTTCCTTTATTAATATATACACAATCTGTTCCCTATAGGTACAATAAGAGTATTAGCTAAAATAATTATAACATTGAATACTTGATAAAAGAAGCCACCCATTGATGACACTTTTAATTATTAAAATTAAAAATAAAATGAAATGTTTTTGATTTTTCTATAGTCTTCTTCTTCTTCCTCGCCTTAATCCCAATTACTTGGGATTGGCCACCCTTATCCTAAACTTCCACTTGACACAGTCTCCCACATAATCTACACTCACATCAGCTGTCCTAATAATGAATTCAATAACATCACTCCATTTCATTTTTGATCTTCCTCTACCTCTTCTTCCTTCAACATTCATTTCTCCAACTGTTCTTACAGCTTCTGATTCATCTCTCCTCATAACATGACCAATCATTTATGTCTTTTCTCTCATCCTATCCACAATTGACGCTACAACTATACTCCTTCTTATATGTTAGTTCCTTATCCTATCTTTTCTCTCCACTCATCCATCTAAGCATTCTCATCTCTGCTACACTCATTCTCTGCTCTACTTTCTTATTAACAACCGCCTAATACTCTGAACCATATATCATAGCTAGCCTCACTACAGTCTTGTAGAATTTACCTTTTAGCCTCATTAGAATTCTTTTATCGCATAGTAATTATCTATAGGTTTCTCTATAGTAATTATTTGAAAAATAAAGACATATGTTTAATTTTAGATTTTTCATTCTTTTTTACCAAACATCATCAAATTTTTATAAGTTTTGATTTCAATTATTTTATTATGTTAAGCCAATAACAAAATGAAGTGTAATATATTTCAATAGTTGTTTAAAATGGCATTAAAATAATGTCACTGTTATGAAATTTATTTAATAAAATAAAAAATGTCATACAAATTATAATATAATTATATGCATTTGTTTTTAGTTGATATGCATAATATAACACGAATCACATTGAGTCATAACAAAATACAAAGTATGTATACAAACATAGTATTCTATTAATTTTGAAGTATCAAACAAATTTATTAATATACTTAAAAAAAATGAAGCTATAAACTTATTTTATTTTAATAATAATATTTTGTATTACATTTATATTAAAGTTCTTATTATTAATATTATACAAGGTGATTCTATTGTTATGAATCATTTAATTAACTGAAAGAATTTATTTATATCTAAAAATAATATCATAAAATATTTTTTATATTCATCTATTTTGTCTTATTAGGGTATAAATTTTTTTAAATTTTATATACATAATTAAATAGCTTATTTATAAGCAAAGCTTGTAAGTTTTTGCATGTATACATTTTGTTAAAGTAATTTTGAAATCAATTATTTCAAAATGAAAATATTTTTAATTGTATTAAAAACTAAGCAATATATTTGACTTTTAACATATCATTAAAAGTGGCTCATAGAGCCTTTAAATCCTGTAAGGAAATTTTGTTTGTGTTATTGAAAGAAGTTCAGTTGAGAAATGTATAGTGATAAAAATAACGGAACTCGTGCTTCATCTCCAGACATTATTTAAAATTTTTAATAACTTGCAAAATACTTGCTTTAAAATTGTTATCAATAATTTTTTTTATTGTATCACTATTTAATAAATAAGCAAGTTAATTATGTATAATCCTATTAAAAATGTAATGCTGGCACTCTTATAAGACATAAGTCATCATCATCTCCTTAAAAACTATTCCAGCTATTTGTGGTCGGCTCTTTCTTAAAATGTTTGACATGTTTTTTACTGCTTCACATCGTGCTCCATATAAGACATAACATATATTTCATGGGTGATAAATTAAGAAAAACATAGTAACTCAAAAAGAAATCTGAATAAAAAATAAATATTGTTTAATATATGTTATTTTTAGATATCAATTAAGCGGTTCTTGATTACAGAATCACATTATATATATAGACTATATGAAAAAAATATACAAATAATAAAGTATATATATTTATATAGTCTGTATTGTATATGCTGCACAGGTAAATGTTGCAAGTCTATTTGAGTTATTCTTTTATGTATTTTGAAAAAAGTAAAATTTTGAGTTAATAATTTTTTAAAGAACAATATTTTTTCTATCTTTAAAAATATTTTTGACTTGTAACCTCTAACTTATGCATAATTTATAATCCTCATTTATAAAATGCTATTAGAAAAGTACCATTAATATATTCTGTTTAATTGTATTCTTTGTAATGTTACTGTTATTTTTGTTTTTTTAATTTAGTATTCTTCTTTTTATATGATTTTAAAGAGTTTAAAAGAAGATTAAAATTAAGTTAAAAGTTAAAATTTAATATTTATTTTTAGAAGTGCCTCCTGGAATTGCAAATTTAACACAATTAGAAATGTTGAACTTATTTAACAATCATATTGATGAGTTGCCTGTATCCTTGTCTTCCATGCCAAAGCTTAGGATATTGAATGTTGGGTAATATACACATATGTATCAAAACAATGAGGCTCAAAAGACAAAAAAATTTGTCAAAAATGTATAAATCCTTTGGTTTTTTTAAAATATAGCTATTTATTTATTATGTAGATTTTGTAAAAATAATCAAGCATCTAAATTCAAGTGAAAAAAGTTTTGTAACTAGTTGTAAATAAAAAGTTGAAATGTTATAGACATAACATGTATCTAATTTTTTTATATACTTATAGGCCTACATTTTGATTTGTAAATTCCTGAACAAATTATAACAATTTGACCCAAATTCAATCAACAATTAAAGAATTTACACTATCTTTTTTTTTTTTTTTTATACATTTTTTGTGTGATGCTAGGAAAAAGTTTCTTTTTATACCAGTCTCAATATATATAATTGATAAATAACGTAAAAATGACAAAATGTAACTTCTTTAAGTTTATAATTTAATTTAATTAAATATTTAAAATTATTTATTAAACTTTCTCGTAGAAATTGTCCATTTATAAACTACTTGTATATATTTGTCATTTGAACTATTAATTTTCTATTTATTTAAACTCTATTAATAATTATTTATATTTGTTAGAATGAATCGTTTAGACTCTTTACCCCGTGGATTTGGTGCCTTTGCTGTGTTAGAAGTTTTGGATTTAACTTATAATAATTTAAATGAATCAAGTTTACCTGGAAATTTCTTCATGTTAGGTAAATATTAATAATTTTTTTTTTTGTTGACATATTAATAAAAATAAAATATTTTTTTTAATTGTGATAAAAAAACAAATTTGAAATTAAAAGAATAATTATTGAGTATGTTGTGCGGGCAAAGTGCTTATATATTTGTATAATCTGTATCCTTATATATATATATTTCTACTTTTTTGTATTTTTAATAATATATCTGTACACCAGATCTGTAAACTCTTCCAAATTACTTCTTCTTCTTTTTTTTTTTAATTAATTAACTTTAAATAAAAATATTTTTTTTTCAGAAACATTAAGGGCATTATATATGGGTGACAATGACTTTGAAACTATACCTTCTGAAATTGGACAGTTAAAAAATCTTCAAATAGTGAGTAGAGAAAAAAAGATTCTTCAATTTGATTCTATAAAGAAAATATTTATAATTTAATTTGGTAATTTAAAAACAGAATATATCTCAATATTCTCTTTAAATTTATTTTTAAAGTTTATTTCTGTGTATTAAAGTTATAGACATGATCATTTACAAAAAAAATGTTAGTCATTTTTTAAAATTTTTATTTATTATCAGTAGAGAGTCAATTATTTATAAATGTTGGTATAAGCAATTTGATCTTGAGATAATGGGGCACAAAGACTGATGCCCCCACAATGTTGAAATTAAAAATCTATTTAATTTTATTTTATTGCTATCATTGTTCAACAACATTTTTTAATTAAATAAAATATTAAATAAAGCTATTGACTGAAAGTAAAATATAAGTATTGGGAATAAAGAGGAAATAAAAATCAAACAAAACAAATATAGGGTGATTTATTATAAACCACTTGATTAATTCCAAAATAAATACAATATTGGAAAAAAAATTGAATATTTTATTTTTATATAACTAGCCTATTTCATAGATATTTGTTTAAGAAAATGGCTGGTTGACAACAAGTTGAACTTTTGGGCCAGTATTTCAGAATTTTAAATTAAAACTATATTAAAAATATATAAATTAATAATAAACTAAATAAATATTATATATATTAATAAACTAAAAAATATTAAAAAACTTTTAACTCAAAAACCACAATAATAAACTAATAATTTCAAAAAACTACAATATTTTGTAGTCAATTAATTTTTATCATTACTTTAAGGAAAAAAATTTCAAATTTAATTTTCTTACATTTTTAAATGACTGATTAATTTATTTCAAAGTGTGTTTTGTTTATATTTTTTCTTGAAACTCATAAATTTTTTTTCTTTAGTTAGTACTTCGAGAAAATGATCTCATAGATATACCAAAAGAAATTGGGTATTTGCCCAGACTACGTGAATTACATATTCAAGCCAATCGTTTAACTGTACTACCACCAGAGTTAGGTAATTTGGATTTGATTGGCAATAAATCTGTGCTAAGAATGGATTTCAATCCATGGGTTGCTCCAATAGCTGATCAACTTCAAGTTGGTGTGTCTCACGTTATTGATTACATTAGATCTGAGACTTATAGATAGTAAGTTTTTTGGACATTAGATATAAGATTTTACTTTCTTGATTTAAAAAAATCAAGTATGGTATTTTTAATGAAAAAAATTAAATTTTATTCAAGTTCAAATGCTTATGGTTAATTAAAAAATAATAAAAATTCACTTTATTAGTCATGGTTAAATGTATAATTATATTGGTTTTAATATGAGATATTCTTCAAACGGATCGAATTTAAAGCTTAGGAGATATAATAGTTCTTCTTTTTCCTTACCCTTATTCCAACTACCTGGGGTCGGCCACCCTTATATTAAACTTCCACTTGACACGATCTCCCACAACAGCCGTCCTCATATTGAATTCAATAACATCACTCCATTTCATTTTTGGTCTTCTCTACCTCTTCTTCATTCTACATTCATATAACTGTTCTTACAGCTTCCGATTCATCTCTCCTCATAACATGACCAATCATTTAGGTCTTTTCTCTCATCTTATCCACAATTGACACTACAACTATACTCCTTCTTATATATTTGTTCCTTATCCTATCCTATCTAAGTTGATCTCCACAGCTCTAGACTTTGTTTAATTTTCTCCTATTAACAATATATCGTCAACAAACAAAATGCACCACGGTACCTCTCCTTTTATTTCTCTTGTAATTTTTTGCATCACTATAGAAAAAAGTAATGGCCTAAAACTGAACCTTGGTGCACTCCTCTCTTACCCTAAAATCTTCTATTACTGTTTTCTCTTTCTAGTTATATAACGTTCTTCCCTCTTTTTAAAATAAGTATTAACTATAGCAAGATACTGTGAAATCCATGATTCATTCTCCAGCCTCACGCTTCCCCCTAAAACCATACCCTCTATGTACTTTTTTATCCTCATTATCTACATGTCTAATCATATCTTCACCTATCACTACATTACCAGATATTCCTTGCATCACTTCATCCATCTCACTCCAAAACACTTTCTTGTCTTTTTCATCATAATCTACTTGTGGTACATAGGCACTTACCACATTAAAAACTTTTTCCTCAAAAATAAATATTACAACAATAATTTTGTCACTTTTCCTAACTACTTTACTTTTTATCTCATCCATTATTATACCTGCATCATTTTTTGTATTGTTCTTACTTGAATATATTATTTTATAACCATCATCTATTTCCCTTGCTTTCTCTCCCTTCCACTTAGTTTCCTGCATACAACAAACATTAACTTTTCTCCTCTTCAATACTTCTACTAATTTTCTACTTTTACCAGTTAATGTTCCAACATTCCACATACCTATTTTTACTTTGTATCTATCTTTTTCCCTTATACACGATTTCAGCCTAGAGTTAAGTGATGATGTACCTACACTGTTGACACTATGAGTGTTAGGTAGGCTTGTACATATTACTGGTGAAACTCTATAGTAATTTATGAAATAAATCAGAATATAAGTAATTGTTAAATATGATTTTTGTAATATTAACAAATAAATAAATTACATCAACATAAAATACAAGTGAAAATAGCTACATTAATACTTATCAGTCTAATCCTATGAAAATTAAATATGTAATTTCCAAAAAAGTGCAAGTTGTTAAGAAGAAAATTTATGTTATATGAGATATATGTTATAAGAAATTGAATTATGATATCCATGATTTTAAATGTATTGAAGTTGAATTTAATACTTCTAAATTATCTTACATTGTGAAACCTGATTAAAATTTTGATGGAAAATCATTTTCCAGCAGTAGGTTATTCATTTATTAATTTTATTCTTAAGCCACAAAGTTTTGACTATTACCTAATAACTCGTATGTAGACAATAGTTTTATCTATCAAGAACTATTTGCTTCATAGTAGTTAGTTTGAAACATGAGTAAATTTAATAGATAAAAAGAATTACTATAAAATAAATAATTGATTTTAATAAATCATTAAAATAAGACTTTATGTTTTGAAATGTTGTATAATTTTAATGACTATAACTTGTAAAGTAATTACATAAGTATTTAGTTTCAAAATATAAGCTTATATCTTTCTTACACTATTAACAATAAGTGATTTTGAGACTAATTTAAAATTATAATAAAATAAATTTGTTAATTATCAAAATTTATTGTTTTTTTCTTTTGAAAAAAAGAATATAACATATTGCGTATATAACATCATTTATGTGCAAAACTATTTGAATGCACATGTTAAATAATGATAATTTTTAACAAATTAACAAATAATTCTGCCGCTTTATAAGCTAAAATTTGTACACTTCTTTTTATTTTATTTAGACTTAGGGAAGTTTATAGATTGTTTATACACCACACTTAACTCACACTAATGTTGCTTGAAGTGCTTAAGGATGTATCCATGTTTACAGTTAAGCACTTCAAGTAACAAGACAATCCATGAAGGTTTAACACATTCAACACACTAATGTTTTGTGCCAATATTTTCTTATTATTACAAAAAATTTCTTAAAAAGATTGCTATATTTGTAGTTTATTTTGTACAAATCAGGACAGTATTATGAAAATATTTTAATACTTTAAGTTTTTCTCGAAAACGATATGTTAATAGCCAAATAACTTATAAATTTCAATATGTTAATGTAATATTGTATTTGTTTTACAGTTTATATAATCGACATATAACTGCCAGAGGTCCTCCTCCACCAAAGCTTAATGATAAAACCAGGAAAATATCTAGAAATCGTCAATACAGCTAGATTTAAATTTATCAATCACTTTATATATATTTTATAGAATGACCTAACAGTTTTATTGATTTTTTTTAACAATCGTATGTTTCCTAACAACAAAAAATTGTTTGTAATTTTGTATTTTTATCCAAGTCCTAAAATTTTAACATCAAAAAATTTGTTGGTAATTTTTTTGTTATTTATTTGTTGTGAAATATAATTTTATTAATGGGTTAAAAATTATTTATAAAAACTAATATTTTAATATATGTACAATTTATTTATTTTAATTACTGACAATTAATATTTTCTTATGATTGTTATATTTATTTGGATTTATCTTTTTTTCTCAATTGAGAATAATAAACTAACTTTATTTACTATATTATTTTTTTCTAATTAATTTTTAAGTTTATCTAAAAAATTTGCTTACCTTTTATTTTATATAGTCTAATAATGTTTCTATGGTCTTTAAAAGTTAACTGGTTATATAAGTAAATATTATCAGTTAACCTACTTACAATTTATATTGTAGCAAGGTATAATTAATTTTTTTTTAAGAATTGAAATATACTCTAAAGTCACAGCTCAGTAAGATCACAGAATAGTTGTGATAAGTGGATATCTGATCTTGATAAACATCACTATCATAAAAAACACTTAAATTAAACATTTTTATTTTTGTAATAAATTAGGAATTTTTTTACATTAGCGATCAATTTTTCATAATTAAATAATCGTTGAAAAAGAACCTTTTTAAAAATTTTAGTGCACTTTCAGGGCTTTAATTTCTTATATAGGTCTAAAGAATACAGACGTTTTTTGAATCAATACTCTTACTATAAATTATAATTAATAACTTCATCTTAAATATGATATTGATTATCTAACTATTAAAAATAATATAATACAATTATTTGTTATATTTAGATAGTTAAATTTATTAAATGATTAAATAAAAAAAAAAAATTATTTTATTTTGATGTTACATTGCAGAATATTGCTTGTGTGTGCACTAATAGTATCACAATACAAAAATAATTTTTCATTATGGGGTCTGGTATAATACAAGCTTTTTGAATCTAATAAATAATTTTTAAATAAAAATTTTCCGAACAACCCAAATAACAACGGTGGTATATTTCTACAATAATAGATGTGAATGAAATATTATTTTTTTCTCCAAATATTTCTCTTTTATGATATATGATATATACATTTTAAATTAAACCCAAAACATGTTTTCCAGTGTTATATTACTTGATCTCTGTATTTTTCCTATTTTGTTTTGTTGACTGTTATATGTATATTTTTTTTTACTAAGTATACTTGGTTCTTAAAAATAAAATATAGTTTTAATATCAAGAAATAGTATTATTATTTTTAATAACAATTATTGAAAACTATAATTCTTTTTTATATTCTAGTGAAGTTAACTTTTAAGATCTGAAAAGTAGTGCAAGTCAAATTTTTAATTTCGAGTTCATCAATTAGCTTTTATCTAGTTTATAGAGTATTAAATATAAAATCATTGAAAATTTGAATGAAATAACTTTGATTTTAGCACCCACAATTATCAATTGTAGAATAGTAGATGTTGAAAATGTTTTTAACCATTGTGTTTTAAACACTGGATAATGTATATTTATTAATAATATAATGAGTGTATAACTACAACAGAATAATTGATGTATATTAATCGTATTGTTATTATTAAATAGATCAGTTTTATACTCGCTGAAACAACACTTTATATTGAAAGTATTAAATTGTTAATTACATGTTTGAAAAACATGTATTAGTCAACACACAAGAAGCGTGTATAATTACGACCTGTCGACAGTTCATAAACACAAAACACACCGTGGTTTTGATTTTTTTCCTATGTTTATTAAGCGCATAATATGCTTACTTTTGCACACTAAGACATGCCCTGTGACATCTCGTGTCGGCTTTGATGAAATTTACTTCTTTATACTATCATATTTTCAGTAAAATCTTTAAAATAATTAAACTTATTAGACAATATTACTGATTATCATATAAAATGATATAATAATTATATTATTTTAAGTTATAAGTTATACAATAATAGTCATCTAATCTGTGGTTAGGCTTGGTAGTTTTTTCTGTACTGGATACACTGCATAAAGTAAAAAGTATTAGTTGGCACACTGCTTGTATTATCCATATTAAGGGCAATAATCATTTTATGTTGATCATTCAAGTTGGATTTTCTTATGTGTAATTTACTTTTTATATAATTTTATTTGTATTTAACTCTTATCAATTTCTAAAATTTTGTGATTTACTTATTCTTAAAAAATTAATTTGTATTTATAATGTCCAAATTGCCTAAATTATTTGTTGGAAATTTGCCGTGGACTGTTAGTAGCCGGGAACTTAGAAAATATTTTGCATCATTTGGTCACGTTGCCACTGCAGACGTATTATTCGACCATACCACCGGCTTTTCCAAAGGCTTTGGGTTTGTTCAATTTACAACTACTGGTGGATTAGATAGTGTTCTTAAAAACCAAAAACACGACTTGGAAGGAAACACGTTGATAGTGCAATCTGCTGACTTGTAGTCTTAAGTAATATTTCCTTAAAAATATATTTTTATTAATTTTAGTATAGTAGTATAATAAAATGTTATCTTCATCAAATAATTTGTCTACTCATTTTGAGCTAGCTGTTTCATTCATATCTGGATCAAATTTAGCGGACAATGTAGAGTTACAGTTGAAGTTATATGGTTTATATAAGCAATCTCGTGAAGGACCTTGCAACCAACCAAAACCTCCTTTATATGATTTAAAAGGTAGAAAAAAATGGTATGCTTGGTCTGAAAAAGGTTCTATGTCCAAGGAAGAGGCAATGGAAAAATATATTGAACTAGTTAAGTCAATCAATCCTAATTTTCAATCAGAAAAAACTGGCTGGGTTACTGTAAGTACCTTTGCAGATAAAGAAGAACCAATTTCAGACAGCAAAAAAACTATTAGCGATTGGGTTAAAGAAGGAAATTTAGCTAAAATATTAACATTCAAAGGAGATATAAATATTAACGATGAAATGGGTATGGCTCCCATTCATTGGGCATCTGACCGTGGAAATTTACCAATATTAAAGTTACTGATTGAAGAACTTTCAGCTAATATTAATCTTCAAGATGAAATGGGACAAACTGCTTTGCATTATGCTATAACTTGTAATCATGATGATATTTGTTTGTATTTAATTGAAAAAGGAGCTAAAACTGATATTCCAGATGAAGATGGAATAACTGCATTTCAAATATTCTCCGAATCTGATTCAAGATTAAAATCTTTATTATTTCATACCTCTTGAGTAATATAAATTAAATAATATTCAAAACTCTATTTTGCCTGTAAATACTTGTTAAAAAATTTCATTATATACATATGATAATAAAATAGCACTGTTATTTATTTAGAATACTTTTATTTGATATTTTATTGAAAAATGTATTTAAGCATCTATTTAATCAAATCCTTATTAGTTTTGAGTTCAGATTATAAATTATTATTTAATATATTTATATATAGATACTCGTGTAATTCTGCATCAAACAAAATCTATAATTAAGTCTATACGGATAGGTCATAGTAAAAATATTAAACGTACATTTCACAAGTTTAAATTACACTTAATATTAGTGGTGTCAAATAACTTAAAAAGTGTCTTTAATTTATCTATTTATTTCATGTGTTATTAATTTAAATTTATAAATATAGTGATAAATTCTCCTGAGACTTGTAACAACCTCTTCTTTATTTAGTGGATGATCCAAATGATTCTTTAGTCTGATAATACTGAATCAATTAGGACAAAGATTTAAAATTATTTTCTCTATTTTTTAAGGATTTCGTTCCCTCTTAATATTTTATATTATATTTTTTTTAAGAAAAGCAACATAAGATTGAGTTTTGAGTATTTTTATATCAGTTAATTAATGTACTTAGATCATATTAATTGGTAATTAGGAGAATTATTGATTATTATAGTTTAAGATTATAAAATAAAATAAATTTGCTAAAAATAAAAAATCTTATTTTTATTGCTTCAATTGATCATTTATAATTTACTTATATTTTAAATGACTAAATCTTATATGGTATTATTAAAATATAGCTGAAATGTATGTGAACTAGAGTATCGTGTACATTGGGTGATTGGTACTCGTTATGTTTGAAAATATTCAATCTCTAAAGTATTAGATAAAACTTCATATACTGTTTCATAATATATTTTCATATAGTCCGTGATTATACTACATTCATTCAGATAATGGATACCTAAAATTTTATTTAAAAATAAGTTATAGTTATTGTTTATAACAATTAAACAATGAAATTCTAGAATAAAATTAGTCACTTCCAGGTACTCAAATAAATTTCTTATAATTAACATATTTAATTAATAAATTTTAGCTTCGATGCGAAGCTGAGAAGGTATTGGTTTTACTATGATGTGTTTTTTTTTTTTTTTTTTTTTTTTTTTTTTTTTTTTTT